GGCAATAGCCGAGGTCAATATGACTTTCTGCCGGTGAATATCACATCATATTCAATGGCTCACTAGTCAACAATTGTTTTAATATATGAATATGCTAAGAAATTTTTAAAAAATCACAAATGTACAACATTATATACATGTACAAATTTTACCTCGTTGAAGCGCGGGAAAAAGGACGCACGTGTTAGGCGTGCAACGACTAGTACGCGAACGCTGCGCATACAAAAATAATTCAAGTTTATACTCATCATTGCGGTGTAGCCTTTAAGTATAATAGTCAAGTAATGATATTTTAATCGAGAAATATGCCATAAAGAACAAAAAGCGACACTTATTTTTTTTAATTAACTCGTGTAATTAACAGTCTACGGTGTATGATCATTGAATATGAGTCTCAATCTATTTTTAGACTGGGAAAATCCAATTCAGCCAGTGAATATGATACTACACCCAGTGAATATGAGTTTATAAAAAGTTCTGTTGACTACTGTTTGGACCAATGAGATTGCAGCTATATTTAGATCATATAATAATATACAATTATTGACTAGTGAGCCATTGAATATAATGTGATATTCACCGGCAGATGACATATTGACCGAGGCGATAGCCGAGGTCAATATGACTTTCTGCCGGTGAATATCACATCATATTCAATGGCTCACTAGTCAATAATTGTTTTATTATATGAATAGGCTAAGAATTAAAAAAAATCACGAAAAAGTACAACATTATATACATGTACAAGTTTTGCCTCGTTGAAGCGCGGGAAAAAAGACGCACGTGCGAGGCGTGCAACGACTACGCGAACGCTGCGCATACAAAAGTAATTCAAGTTTATACTCATCGATGCAGTTTAGCCTTTAAGTATAACAGTAAAGTAATGATATTTCAATCTAAAAATATGCCATAAAGAACAAAACGCAACAATTATTTTTTAATTAACCCATGTAATTAACAGTCTACGGTGTACGGGTATTAATATGAGTCTCAAACTATTTTTAGACTTGGAAAATCTAATTCAGCCAGTTAATATGATACTACACCCAGTGAATATGATTTTATAAAAAGTTCTGTTGACTACAATTTGGACAAATGAGATTGCAGCTATTTTTGGATCATACAATAAATTACAGATAATTTGCATAAGGTACCTTAAAAATAATTAACCTATAGCTCTTCAGCGCTTCCTATGTAAAATTCTTCCTAGTATAATTTCCAATAACCGTAAATTATACCATACCCAGACTATGGTATAATTTTCAGTTTTGAAGATCGAAGGAGTAAGAGTTTCTGGGCGGAGCTATAGGTTAAAACAGATACACCATTGGTGCGTTGACGATTTCTGGGTTTGCGTAAATTATACCATAATCACGTGACCTTTCTTATGCAACCTCACTCGACTTCGTCTCGTGAGGTTAAGGCATAAGAAAGGTTATGCAACCTCACTCGACTTCGTCTCGTGAGGTTAAGGCATAAGAAAGGTCACGTGATTATGGTATAATTTACGCAAACCCAGAAATCGTCAACGCAGCAATGGTATATCTATTACTAAACAGATGAAAGAAAGCATGCAGACACATTTCATGTTATACAAAGTAAATTAAAAGAATGTAAGAAAATGTTCATATATGAATAAAATATTTTGCCTGTGCTTCTTTCAAAGACGAAGGTGGCTTTTTGTTGCCTGTTTATAACTAGCTACTGACATCTCTTTTTTTTTTCTTTTTTCCAAAATGAATGATAATTATGTTTTTTATATTTTAAATATAAGTACTTGTACATGATAATGTTACATAACCAGAAAAAAGGTTAATCACCGACTTGTAAAATGAATAAAAACTTTTAAAAGAGTGTTACCCATTATGTCATATTGTAGGCTATACTGCTCAAGCCGGTGCTAGGGGGCGTGAGGGATGTTGCACTTATTCATTATCCCTCATGTACAGACTCAGTCAAACCGAGTCTGCAATTCTTAAGTTATTTTGTTGTGATTAATGCTTCCGAGGGATCACTTTGTTTCCAGATTTTTTTTCTGACTGACTAAGTCGGTTTTGTTAATAGAATAAAATGAAATATTTTGAATATAAGTTAAAAAGTTAATATTTTCAGAATTATAAGACGCAATCACAGATATATCTATATTAAGCTCCATGACTTTAACCTTAATATGTACACCGTAAGTGGTCTATAATATAAGATGACAACAATAAAATGACTGTGTCATTCGTCGAAAATGAAGTATTGATTTCGTGACGTCATTTATCGGCCATTTTCTCGACCCGGCGTGCAAAGCAAAGACATAATTAAATTTTAAAAGCCAAAAACGCTTAGGTTAGTATCATTTCAGATGATGTCAATCAGCAAAATTAAGGACAAAGTTGTTATTTCATATTTTAATCTAATGACATTATTGCCTTTTAACCATATACCTCGATATTGCAGTGTTTTTTTGGCTTGTGTGGGTGGAGAGAAACGTTTTCTGAAAATGTGAAATTTAGACTGAATACTGCTTACTGTAATTTTTTAAAAATATTAACTGCATCCAGTGAGTCAGTGACAATGTAAAGATTTGTGAAAATAAATTTCTCTAAATTAATTATCAGCTAAATTACTTGGGGGGGGGGGGGGGACCGTTCCCTCTGGGTCAATTTTATTTTGTGCCAATCCAGAAAAATTAGCTTCAATTTCTCCAAAGTTGGGATACATAAGTCATAAATTTGCAAGGGAGACGTCACTTTCTCTAAGTTATGCTATTGAGTTATATATCATTGTGATCGCAAACACATAGTATCCTAGTGTCATTAGTTTTGACGCCCTTAAGCTGTTTAACTAGTGCATTGTTTTATATTTAACTTGATCATTAAATAAAATACAATATAAAGTTACTATGGCATGTTGTTTATCACTGCAAACCATTTTTATGTTTGTTATAAGTTCAAAATCACTTAAGTTTTGTACTCAAGTAAACGGACCGTGGAAGCATCCATTGTTGTTTACAGTCATATGAAATGACGCCTTTTCATTGGGTGGTTATTTTTAAAGAATATTTCACTGTAATGCAATATGTACAGCAAAAGAAGTTTTTAAATGAGCAAACCTGTAATGTAACAACATTGTGTAAACTTAAAATTATATTTTATTTCATATAAAACTGCCCATTATTTAGGAATGCCATACACCCCGACAGTGGTCTTAATAGGTGCAATTGTCTCTTTCATCTTGAATGTATTTACAAATAATCTTGATGAATAGCATCTGTTTTTGGCTTACAGAGCTGAAAAATATATCTAAAATGAAAGATGTTGTAAAGATATGTATATGTTGATTTAAGAAATGATTTTTTTCTTTCTTTTTTTAACTTAATATACAATAATCAACCCATTATGAATTTTACTCAGTATCAATTAAAAACCAATTAACGTTTTCAAACAATACAGACTTCCCGAAATACGTCGGTCCAACGGACATGTCCGATAAATTTTGATCAGGTCCGACGAGTTTTTATTCCGGATCGGTCCGACTGTCCGGCTTTTATCCAAGCCGCATGTAATACAAAATGGCGTCGCTAAAGGTGCTAAACCTTGGAAAAATCAAAAATCTACGTCAGAGGAACGCGCAGAACAGCAGTAAAAGGATAATAAAAGTAGACCTGAGACAAAATTTAATGAAAATTAGAAGCAAGACAGTGAATCGTTGGTGTATGATAGGGAGGAGATGAAAATGCGCTGTAAGGAATGTGCCGATTTTTACGGCGAAATAATTAAAAACAAAAAGTCTCTAGAAATACAAACACACGTTATTCTTTGATTTTGATCAATTTTATTTGGTCCGACAGATTTCGTTTCGGTCCGACAGATTTTCATGGTTTGTCAGACCGAATGTCTGACAGTTTTTCTCAACTTTCGGGAAGTCTGACAATATAAGCTGTACTACTTATGCTACAGTGAATATTTAGAGCACTTTGCAAAGTTTTGGTCACATGACACTCATTAGACATTTTAAAATGGAGGACAGAAACAGAAAAGTGCAGGTCAAGATTTTGCAAAGGCTGTATTTGCAAAATTAAGGCTTGCATAAACATCGATTGATTTGCATTAGTAAAAAGATGAAAAAATACCATACATATAATTAAGGTGAAGTATTTCAGTGAAATGGCTCTGTCTTAACTACATGTTTTAGTTATATGTTGTAAATACATGCTTGCAGTGCAGTCAGCAAATTATGACGTCATACGAGGTCGTTTTCACAAATTCTTAGGTCAAAACAAAAATGGCGTCAAAATAGATGAGGCCATCCTTAAAAAAATGTTTGTTTGCAGTAACGTGACCGACTCACAAAATTTGCCCCTACTCAAAATATTTTTCATGGTCTGGATAAAAAAAATTTTTTTTTGAATTAGAAAATTATGCCTTGTGCTTTGTTTTCGTTCTTTAAAAGGTTAATAGAAGAAATAAAATGTAGGTCTTATTAAATTAGAATTCAGTTATCAATTTATTAATTGTTACCAGATTATCAAAGCATAATATATTGTCCAGCATTTTGAAATTCCATGTTTATTTGGGAGTACAAGTCAATAAAAAAAAAAAAAAATCGACCTACCACCTTGAAAATTCTGGGTCGAGTTACTGCAAACAAACATGTTTTTAAGGATGGCCTGAGCGTCAAAACACTTAACCGGACGATATTTATTTTAGTGGTAAAAAGCCCTGCATAACTTGCCATAAGACCACAGAGTATACTAGCAGGGCTCTCATTAGCATTTTTAGACTGGGGCCAGGATACATGCAGGGGGGTTGGGGGAATTTTTCATGATTTTCAATTTTTTTTCATTCAAGAGGGGATTTTTTTCGGTAAGACTTGAAATTGTGTGACGTGTTGGAATGTTAAAAACTGTCCGGAACGTTTTGTTTATATATATGTATATATTTATAATACTGCACATTTGTAACGTCGCTTTTCATTGGATAATCGTGACGTTTATATAGTTTTATATACACGGCAGCTGTCGATTTAAGAAGAAATCTTACTTTTCTCACTAAAAAATGATGGGTGCTGTATTATAAATTCGTTGTAAAGATTGTTGACTGGTTATATGGCCTAGCGGTAGATATGATTGTATGATTTGAATTGATTTGTCTGTTACAGCAAATACTATATAATGTTAATATGTATTATATTGTCATTGAACACTGTTTTATCAGTGATATAGTAAATAAATATTAGAGAATTATGTATTACTTTTTTTTTCATTTCATAACTGTTGATTATAAATCGATATATCTTAGAAAAATAGCTTCCCAATTTTCTGGGCTATGATTATGTCTATTACAATCATTTTTATTTGTTTTGGTCATGAAAAAATAGCATGTACATAAATATAAAATATATTGAGGTCCAGTGACATCCGTCTTGTTACTCGTGTACCAGATGATTAGTCCAAATCACTTCTTGTTGCAGTGTAGGGTTATATCCTGGGTTAGACTATAGGAACCTAAACCAGGAGTTTATAATAAAGTATTTACTGTAGTAAGCTCATTAAATATTTGTTGGATGTTACTGAACAAATATAGACATACGGGTGTATTCCAGGAGACTGCCTGTCCAACGTAGTATGTTAGATTATTAAGATAGCATATAACTGCATATTAGCAATAAGTTAATAGCTTGAAATATTGTTCCCAATGGTATATTTGTATATAATTGCATATTTACAGTTACTTGTTGCTCTCTGACAAATTTGCTATGTTACAACATTGAAATATATAATATATATATGTATTTATGATATATTGTTACTAGATCATATTTATATGTAGATATTTCATTGCTCTTTTCACTGGTATCACCGAGGAAGTTTTTTTGCAAAATGGACACAAACAAAATGTTTTTCAAGACCTTTTTGCTACTAAGGTAATATTCAGTATTTATATTGATTTGTATTTATTTTTTGCTCTTTCTTTCTAGGACAGTTTTTTAACAAAATTAGTTTGTATTGAAACCAGTTTAGTAGGAAGCTGACTAAAAGATAGAAGTCCATAAGAAATAACTATTTTTGTTCAGAATCTTGATGAATTGTTTTCAGATACAGTTATAGGTAACCATTTAAAAATAATGGCTACTTAATTTCTTATGTGAATAGTATTTTTGGTTTCTGCATCGCTATGAAAAAAAAACAGGTTTGCATAATAAATTTGTTATTTTACTTGCAGCGGCAAGGTCAATTTTCAAGAAACTGGTTATTGTGTGTTTTTAGTTTGTTTGTATGGCAGCTGTTATGCAAAATTTTTTGTGTAGCCCATTATTCTAAAATTTTAAAAGTTATCATCATAAAACTTGGAATACTCGCTTATTGTGTCAAGCTGCAGTTGTAAGACAAGGGCCATTATTCTGAAAGCAATACAGTGTAACTTCCGAAAACCGAACACCCATGGGACTTTTCAAAAAGTTCGGATTTCAGAGGTTTCCGGAATTCAGAGGTTTATGATAATGTGGACATGACTAAGCCACTTAATATCACTAAATGTCAAGGAAGATGTGGCCATTACTGTAATATCATATATAATAGTCTTTTAATCAAGATAAAGATGTAAATGAAAAGAATACATTTTTATCTTACCTGCAAATGCTTTTGGATTTCTATCAGTTTGTAGAAATGTTGTTAATTGCATAAACTTACATATCGTCCGATGCTAGATAATTAATTATTACATCAACTGCAATAAAATCCCTGAAGACGTTTGATGCATACATTGTCCAATTAAGTGTCATTTAATCCGCTAATAAACACTTCAAATTAACTGACCGCCGTAAATTACTTTGATTAACCGCTTCACTTCAAACATACCATTTCACAGTTTGTGATTTTAATGCGTGTCAAATTACACCATCACCGCTAATTAGTAAACAATCGATAGGGAGATTAAATCTTCCTGCAGGGTAAACATTCTCGATTTACAATGTATTTCACACCTTTGGATATTTCCGGTTTTTGGAGGTAAAATTGCATTGATTTGACACTAATTTTACGAAAATATTTTGTCCGGAATTCAGAATTTAGAAGTTCCGGAATTCAGAAGCATTATATTAATAGAAAATAGAAGGGAAAAATCGGGACCGAAAAAAATGTTCGGTTTTTAGAAGTTTCCGGATTTCAGAAGTTCCAGAATTCGGAAGTTACACTGTATTGTTATTGCACTGCCCCCTTTTGAATTAGAATTTTAAACAGGCAAGTGTTAGCATTGAATGTGGTGCTGTTATAATATTATTTACAATTCAATAATGTTGAGATACAGACTGAGCTTAAAATATCCGATGGCATAAGACTAACCGTCACTTATAAGGTAAAAATTGTTTAGAAGGAAAGAGCATTATTGTTTATTTATGTGTTGGTGATTATATTGTATTATATGTCATTTATGTTGGTTGGTTTTTTGCTCAATTTAGATGTTAAAATAGATCACAATGTTTACAATCTTAATTAAAAAAAATAATCTTGATAAATATAAAAATATGTAACTTGTTGGATAGGATTTAAAGACTAAGGGCCCTGGAGAGCAGTGGCTTAGTTGCTAGTATCATTTGTGGATATTATGTTTAAGGCATATTATATATATATATTATGACAACAGTTCATTTTGGTCATTTTGTATGTATATGGATTGTTCAAACAATGATTATTATAACCTTCAGAGATATGATGTAAAAAATTATGATATTATATTTAATCTGACGTAAGGAGAACGTAATTCTGAAGAATTTAGTATTAAAGATTTAATTTTCATTTTTCTAGTTTCATTGATGAACATAACTAATCAATCAAATAAGAACTTAATTCTTCACAAAATAAATGAGAGAAAGCAACATTAAACCACTCAGTCTCTGAAATCATTTTTGTGCCCCCACGTTAGTGGCGGGCATTTAGATTTACCCTTGTCCGTCCGTCCGTCCGTCTGTCCGTCCTTCCGTCCGTCCTTCCGTCCGTCCGTCCGTCCGTTCACTTTTGTGTCGCACGTAACTCAAAAAGTATTTGACCTAGAGTCATGAAACTTTACAGGAATGTTGATCAGCATGTGAAGTTGTGCACCTGGGTATTTTCGTCTGGATATTTTTAGTATTTTCAGAGTTATTGCCCTTGACTTAGTAAAATTTTGCAATTTTCAACTTGTGTCGCATGTAACTCAAAAAGTATTTGACCTAGAGTCATGAAACTTAACCGGAATGTTGATCAGCATATGTAGTTGTGCACCTGGGTATTTTTGTGTGGATATTTTTAGTATTTTCAGAGTTATTACCCTTGACTTAGTAAAATTTTGCAATTTTCAACTTGTGTCGCATGTAACTCAAAAAGTATTTGACCTAGAGTCATGAAACTTTACAGGAATGTTGATCAGCATGTGTAGTTGTGCACCTGGGTATTTTTGTGTGGATATTATTAGTATTTTCAGAGTTATTGCCCTTGACTTAGTAAAATTTTGCAATTTTCAACTTGTGTGGCACGTAACTCAAAAAGTATTTGACTTAGAGTCATGAAACTTTACAGGAATGTTGATCAGCATGTGTAGTTGTGCACCTGGGTATTTTCGTCTGGATGTTTTTTGTATTTTTAGAGTTGTTGCCCTTTACTTAGTAAAATTTTGCAATTTTCAACATGTGTCGCACGTAACTCAAAAAGTATTTGACCTAGAGTCATGAAACTTTATAGGAATGTTGATCAGCATGTGCAGTTGTGCACCAGGTATTTTCGTCTGGATTTATTTAGTATTTTTAGAGCTATTGCCCTTCACTTAGAAAATTTTTGCAATTTTCAACTTGTGTCGCAAGTTACTCAAAAAGGATTTGACATATTCATTAAACCTTACGGGCAGATTGCTCAGCATATTTAGATTTGCACCTGGGGTTTCGCTTGTGGATTTATCCAGTATTTGTAGAGTTATTTCCCTTGACTTAGTAAAAAGATTGACAGAACAGTGGCGCGGTGGGGGCACCCGTGTCCTATGGACACATTTCTAGTTTACCCTTCCTTTATTAACAGCAAACTTGTGGTTTAGGTAGGTGTTCACAGGACCAGCAGTGGTCTTAATAGTGGGGTCAAATAAAGAATAAAACAGAATTGGGACTGAAACTAGTGGTCTTAATAGTAGGGTCAAATAAAGAATAAAACAAAGAATTGGGACTGAAACTAGTGGTCTTAATAGTGGGGTCAAATAAAGAATAAAACAAAGAATTGGGACTGAAACTAGTGGTCTTAATAGTGGATTATTGAGGTGGCCTTAATTGTGAATTATTTCACCATTGACATATAAAATAATAAAACAATCTGTTCTTTTAAAATTGGTCTTTAGGCAGGATGGATTTATTCTGGGGTGGTCTTATATAGGGTGACCCGGTCTCTATTAAGGACAATAAAATATGGTTACCTTGTGGTTAATCTGACCTTCACATGACCAAGAATCTTGTGTTAAAGTCCTTGTGTATACATGTATGTTACTACTGGGGTCATGGTCCTGTTTTCTTCAAAAACTCAAGGACTGGTTTGTCCAGAAAAGGTGTTGCAAATATATCAGATTCAACTTATAATAAAAAAAAGCATTGCCAGATTGTCACACAGTGTAAATGACTAAAAGTGATTGTTTTACTTACTAATCATAAAACAAACAAAATGGCTCTCAAAAAATTACTTAATTTGATTTTTCTATATTTACTTTAATGTTAAAATTAATTAATTTTAGTTTTCATTTTGCATGTTCTATGATATTCAATACTCAATTATGAAACTTGGAAAATATTTTTGTATTTTCAGAAACTGTACACTGAGATCTTATGACTGGTAAGTGAAGGGTAACTATGGCAGCAGGTGGTTTACATTTCGGTAACCCTATGGTGAAACAAAACACCTTGATAATCAACAATTTACCTGATTATATGGGAGATGATGAGCTGGAGTCAATGTTTAAAACTTACGGTACTGTTAAAACAGCATCTGTGAGAAGGGATCCGAAAACAAATAAAAGCTTGGCTTTTGGTTTTGTAGAGTATTCAAAAAGGGATGAGGGGAAGAAAGCCATTGAAAATGTTGATGGTCTGCAATTGGGAAAGAAAAAACTACGAGTCGCGTTTTCGGAGCCTATTGACGAGGCTATTAAACATGCAACTAAAGTAACTGTAAAAAAACTTCCTGCAAAATTTTCAGAAGAGGACTTTAAGGGAATGTTTGCTAAGTTTGGAAAAATTGTTAAAGTGCGTCTATTAGTTGACAGTGTGACAGGAAAGTCCCGTCGACTAGGTTTCCTCTTCTATGAAAATTGGGCTGATGCACAGAAAGCTGTTAATGAAATGAATGGTTTCAAACCAGAACAAAGTAAAGACCCATTGAAAGTTAATTTTGATCAGGAGAGTGTGAAGCCAAAGACCTGGCCTCAGTGGCAAAAGGCGTCAGATCAGCAGCAGGTTGGCTACCAGCATAGAGCACCCCATGCATTGACAGGAAGTAGACCGCATTCACAACAGGGTCCGAGTAAATCTATCCCATCGGTCATAACACAAGGGCCGAATCCTTCTTGTGTGTTTTTGTACAATATTGGTGAATATATTAGTGAACAGGAGATTTATAATATGTTTGCACAATTTGGTGGACTAAAGAAAATAGACATTGTGCGTGATATGAACACACAGTTATGTAAAGGTTACGCGTTTCTCAATTTTGACACATACCAAGCGGCCGAAAATGCTATTTTCACAATGGACGGAATGTTTTATAGGGGAAGACAGTTACAAGTTCGATTTAAATATAATTGATATAGATACAAGAATGTTTTGGAACATTAATATAGACTTGATATATGATCTGCATAATTTCAGTGAAGAATTTTAATTATTGTTGGTCAATGCTACCATGCTAGCATTTAGAGACAAATAACAATTATTATATAAACCTTATTATCTTGTCATAAAATGAAAACAATAATAAGAAGGATTTCTTAACAGGAACTTGCGGTTCAGATTCTGGAAAATAAGACGAAAATAAGACTATTCAACGCATTTATATTCTAAAATGGTTAATTTCTCATTAAAATTGACTTGTGAAAGCTATGCTTTCTGTTTGGAAAGAACTTCATTTTTATACTCGAAGCTGACTGATGTGTTTGGAAGATATTAAGTTGTTAGTGTTGAAAATTTTCATTGAAGAGAAAAAATGTTTCACTAATAAAATTGTGTTGACAAATTGGCTGTTTTACTTCACAGTTGAAATACATAGGAAAAGTACAAGGGATCCTTATGTTTAAAAGGCCTGTCCTTAAAATCCCTTTGTGGTATTTACAGAATGAAAGTTAAATGATGCATCTTATTATTTTACTGCACACTTGAAATCAATTGCCATTTAGGCAAATCTGGTTTCTAAAGAAGGCAGATAATCAATATGCAAAAATGATGATGAAACTAAACTGGCTATGCCACAAAATTGCTCATTATGTCAGTGACTTGCCAGTATGGCAAAAAGTACATGACTTAAATAACTAAAACATAAAGATTTTTTCTGAATAACATTTGCCATTTTTAAGAAGGATTTAGCCTCTCAAAAACTCTTTATTTTCCTTTTTTAACCTCTTTTTTTTTTACTTCAGATTATGACGGTGCATGGGAAAGCAATGTCCTATCTAATGGCTGCAACAAAAAAAATTGAAAAAAATAATTAGTTTTTATTAATCAAATGCATGTTTTCATATATATTTTTTTCTTTTTTTTTCCTCTAGGCAAAAGTTTTCTGAAGGACTGACCAGGAGAAGTTTAGAAATATTTGACATTTTTATTGCACTCTTTGAACCTTTTTTTATCTAAAAACGTTCATGTTTTTTTTTCTTCTTTTTCATTTTTTAGTTGGAAGTGTCTGGAATTTTTTTTCAAGAACTCAAGTTTTTTGATAGGCTGACAGAAACATACAGGTAACATTTTTTTTGTCCATTAAATAAAAAAATCTGACACTCCCCGATCTTTACAGTAAAGTTTACAACGTAATGTCATATGGAGTTAAACTATCGTAATGTGTTTGTTTAAAGTTCCATAAACTGCCTGTATTACGGCTGTCAATGCTTCAGTCTAAGTGAATCGTGCATCAGTATTTAATGATAATCAGCAGAACATGTTGACACCCAATGATATCATAATGACAGCACTATCATAACGTCAAATTATGAATAGCTAAATCCACACTCGGGCAAAAAGTAATTAGCAAAAAAGTTTTGTTAATTCTTCTGACTGATGTTTAAGCAGAATTTCTGAATTTCAAACCGTTTCTAAAACTTGTTTTAAAATTATTATCCTGTACATAAAGTTTATTTGGCCTAACAAAGCTATCCATATTTCAAGTTTTCCGTTTCAAATTTCTGTAGTAGGATTCAACTTTAACAATTTAGTAAAAAAAAATCTTGATATAAATCATACCAATATCCCATTGCAAATTTTGATTACTATTATCCAAGACTGAAATTGAAAGGATTAAAAGTTTCTACCTTTATACAGGCACAATTTACAGTGTTTTGTATGAAATACAAAAATTACAAGTAGCATTATATAAAATACAAGAATTGATTTTGTAAAGCTTGAATTCTTTTCTCGTCTTATTGTCAAATTCGTTTCGGAATTTCGCAGGAAACCCAACTTTGATTGCCATAGTAAATGTTGTTAACATTTGATAACCATTGATTGTCTGCATCTATTCCTATGATAGTACTGTTTAACTAATTGATTATCATTAATTGAAATACAACTTTTTATGGCCGAGTTGGGGAAAACTCTGAATTTGCAATTTTAAGTCTGAATGAACTAGGCTGTTTTGACATTCGTAGCATTTCCCCACTGATTGGGTGATGTAAACTTCATTATAATATATATTTCTGTACATCCCTCATACACACAAGAAACATGGTATGACTCAATAGAGATACTCCGAATCTTGGCAAATGTTGGGTTTTCCCATCTAATCCTTGGGTACAAATAATCATTTACACTTGCACCTTGGTAAATATAATGTTTATAACCACAAGGTGATTATTACTCGATTGTGAACAGTTGAGTGCAATGTTAAGCTGTAACAGCAAAGGTTGTTGGTACCTCGGGATAACTCAGAAAAACCCATATTTGCAGAGTTGTGGGTAACATCTCATAAACATTTAAAAAATGCTTCAAACTTAAAAAAAAACAATATTGAAAAACTTCTACCATTCTTGTTAACACTTGAAGAAAATGAGAAGTATTTTTTGTATAACAATGTGTTTAAAAACTTTTATTTTCACAGTTTTTTGCATCTTTTTTTTTTTCATAGATTTTTCCCAGAGAAGAGTTTTTTGCCACAATTTCTGCATTTTTTATCAAAGGATTTTATCAGGTAAATTTTTTTCTTTTTTTTTCAATGGTATAAATAAAACATGTAATGAACACTTGAAATGTCTTATTGTGTTATACAAGCAAATGATATATATAATTTATACAGATATTGTTATGTATTACATTATCTTAAGGATTCAATATAATTACTAGTAGTAGTATGTTTATTTTTCTATTTATGAAAAAAGGAAAGAAAAGAATTTAGATACTTATTATATATCTTTGACATGTATGTGTATGTAGTTTATAGAAAATGTATATATGTATACAATTTAATAGAAATTCTATTGTGCATTATGTATTTTATTAGTTATATTATTTGTAAGCCAAGAAGTTATAATAATATATGTTAATTATACATTATCATGTAATGAGTTAACCCCTAACCTGCTGAATTTCTTAAATGGACTTGTCCAACTGTCATTTTTAGCTCGACTTTTCTATGAAAAGGGGAGCTATCCTACTCGCCCCGGCGTCGGCGTCACACCTTGGTTAAGTTTTTCGTACCACCCCACTTTATTTCAGAAGTATTACAAGTATGGCTTTGAAACTTACCATACTTGTTCACCATCATAACCTCCATCTACAGACAAGAGTACATAACTCTGTCAAGGTTTTTGACAGAATTATGGCCCTTTTTTGACTTAGAAAGTGTATTGAGCTTGGTTAAGTTTTTTGTACCACCTCACTTTATTTCAAAACCATTGGAGGTATTGCTTTGAAACTGACCATACTTGTTTACCATCACGACCTTCATCAACAGACAAGAGGACATAACTCTGTCAAGGTTTTTGACAGAATTATGCCCCTTTTTGACTTAGAAAATACATTGAATATGGGTAAAATCCACTTATTGCCTTAACCCTTTGAGATATTGCTTTGAAACTTTTAATGCTATTTCACATCATTACCCCATCTGTACGCAAGAGAAGGTAACTCTGTCAAGGATTTGTTTTAAAAATTAAGGCCTTTTATCGACTTAGAATCTTGGTTAAGTTTTTAGTACCAGTCCACTTTTTGACTGAACTGTTTGAGATATTAATTTGAAAGTTGGAATACTTGTTTACAATCATGATTCCCAAACATGTCCAGGAGAAGGTAATTCTGTCAAAGATTTTATTTGAATTATGGCCCTTAACTGTCAATGTTTTGTATTATAGGCAAGCACTAAAAAACTTAAAAAATCTAAAAAAATTCATTCCTATCCACTTGTTCACTTTACCATAAATTATGTCATATAAACATTGCTGTAATATTCAAGGGTATCAAACAACTAGTTCACTTTAAAAATACAGAGATTCTTGTATTGCCTTTTACTGCAAAAACTTTTTTTATTGGCAAGCAATAAAAAAGTCGAGCGCGCTGTCTTACGGACAGCTCTTGTTGGAACTGTTCATTGTTAACTTTGGGGATATCGGAATAAATATTAATTAATTTGAAGTTGGAAACAGTATAGAGCCTGGTTACTGGCAAAAGCTAATTATTTTCCTATTCCAGCAGGTTAGGTGTTTACATACCTATGTACATTGTATGTTGATACCTATGACTTGTATATTATGTTGGTTCTATTTGTTGTACACTTTATTTTAATACAAGACTTTATCAGTTTATGCTTTATGTAACTGGCTTAAAATTGAACATCAAGGAATGTTTTCAATGCAAAGGCATATGTTTAAAGTTTTTGTTATTATTACTTTTATATTAAGATAAAACACAAAAATTGACATTATTTGATTGTAAGAGAAAGCCTCTGTGCCACAGTGGTAAATCAATATCTTGCCTGTTACTACTTTTGAAATGGACTTTGAATTGTTTCAAGAGAGAAAGCCTTCCAGCCAACCAGCTAATGGAAGGTACATGTAAATCAAAATGGTTCTACATAGGCACCTGCTAGTGACTAATGTGGCTGAAGTAATGCACCCTTTGGAGTTAAAGCTTAAAAGTTGCCAGTTTTAAGAAGTAAATGCAAGCATATTTGAGAAGAAATTATGTTGAAAATATTGTGTTTTGTTAACGACACATTTCTATGTTAAAACTTATTCTTAAAGTAAACAAAGGTAAACAAAATAACCTTTCAAATAGCCTGGAATGCCTTTAATATAAAGATTATACAACTTTGAAGAAGAATAAAAGTCATGTTACAAAATTTTAACATTTTGTGTAGAAGCTAAAAGATGTTATTTATGATAGTACATTTGTATTTCTATGTTTGTACAATTGTTATGATACTATATCATTTATGTCATACATGTACTACTATATAATTCAAATTTTATTTGATTTTGTAAAGATATTTTTCTTGTATTTATTCCTTGTATGTCTGTAGAAGTACTACTATTTATAATTCTAATTTTATTTGATTTTGTAAACATACTTTTCCTGTAGATTATTTCTTGTATATTGCAGTCGTATTGTTTTTATTGTCACCATATTATCAATGAATATATTAAGCATTGGTACACAAATAATGGCTTAAATGTGTCTTTCAAAACCGCCTCCATGGTTGAGGGGTTAGAGTTGATGACTTCTAATCAAGTTACCTCTCTGGCGTGTGTTCGATCCCTGGGAGAGGCTTCGATAGTTTAGCGCAGAGGACGGTAGTCTAGTACTGGTGTAACTCTCCAGGAACGATGGTTAGGAAACTACCCGCCTATATGACTGAAAAACTGTTGGGAAAAGGCGTAAAATGAAACAAACAAACAGTGTCTTTCAACTAATATTTGTCTGTTATGATTGTCTGGGATTATAAGACTTTGAAAAAAGCTGTGAAGTGTGAGAGCTCAAAGGACTGTCTGAACAATTAAAGGCAATATGCCAACTTCAATTTGTTGTCCATGGCTAATTAATTAGTGTTATGATTTATAATTTGTCCGCTAAATGTTGATGTACTGGTACAGAAAGCCAAGTCATTAATAAGGTAACTGTCTGCCAGCATTTGATAACATCTCTACAATTGTCCTAAAATTATAACTAACAGGCTCATTGGAACATGTATTTTAGACATTTGTCTTGATATCTGAGAATAAATGATGCTCTTACCTTACTGGATCTGTAAGTAATGAGAATAGAAGATCTTCAGTTTAACTGGTTCAATAAGTTTATCTTAAAAGTTTTTGATTCTTTTTAAGAATTTTCACTTCTTTGATAAAGATGACTTTACTTTTATGATTCTACCCTTAAAAATGAGCTAAAAATTGGGCATAGAATGCTGGAGTATTGCATGCCAATATGCTTCCCAAGTCTTCTTTGAAAGAGAATAGTTTTTACCCTGTGATTGAGGGCAGTATGACTGAAGCCCTTCTGTTGCATATGACAGAAGAACAGTAAAACTGTTTAAAAGCAAGATCTTTCTTGCTAAAACCTTCACTTTTTCTTAACATGTTTAAAATACTTCACTTAAGCAGGTTTGACATTAGAGCAATACAACCATGTGGAATCAAGACAGTGCTAGCCAAGGTGAACAGCTGGACAACAAGACTAATTTGATCATCAACTACCTGCCACAAACGTACTCCGATGATGAGATGTTCTCACTGTTCTCTACGATAGGAAAAGTTGTCAACTGTAAGATCATTCGTGACAAGAATTCCGGTTACAGTTACGGCTTTGGATTTGTTGAATACTCTACCCCAGAGGAGGCCCAGACAGCAATACAACAGTTGTCTGGCTGTGAAATAGAGAATAAGCGTATTAAGGTGGCTTTAGCTAGGCCACCTGGTGAGAATACAAAGGGGGCTAACTTGTATATAAGAAATATTCCTCAGAATTATGATGAGGAGACCCTGAGGAATCAGTTTGCTCATTATGGTACTATTGTACAGGTTAGAATACTTGTTGACCACTTAACTGGCCAGTCAAAGTGTGTAGGTTTTGTTTTGTTTGAAAAGAAAGAATACGCAGAACAGGCTATGAATGAAATGAACGGTCAGACCCTACCTGGTGGAAACCAGCCCCTAGCCATAAAGTTTGCAGATGATAATGCCAAGAAAGTCCGGGCCCCTCCTATGCCTCAGCATGCAGGTTACGGTCAAATGGCAGGCTTTGCTGGTGGGTATGGCCCACGCCAGGGGGGTCCCATGAGAGGTCCCAGGGGTGCTGGTGGTAGCATGAGATACAATCCAATGGGGTCTGGGGCAATGGGAAATGGATTTGGGGGTTATGCCGGAGGTTATGGTGGGGGAAGAGGTCGGGCAACAAGCATGTCTGGTCCACGACCTGTTCCACTCTTTAATCAGTTTGGTGGTGGGGATGCCACAGGGGATGGTGTTATACTCTTTGTATACAACATTGGTATTGATGCTACAGAAAATGACCTATGGAATCTGTTCTCTCCATATGGTACTATTAAAAAGGTCAATGTCATATGGGACCATTCCCAAAACAAATGTAAAGGTTATGGTTTTGTTACCATGTCAACCTTGGATGAAGCAAAGTATGCCATTGAATACTTGAATGGTTTCTATTATAAGACGGCCCCACTTCAAGTATCCATCAAATCTGATGGAAAGAAATAAAAGCTTGAAAATTTACTTTTGAGAAATGGAATAGGAACTTAAAGCGTTTGAAAGAGAAAATCATTTCAGTATTTGTTTCTTTTTCTGAGAAATGAATGGACCAACAAATAGTGACTTAATAAAGGATGATTGTTTTAAACAAAAGATGAGGAAATCTTTCATAATTAAACATGTTTTTGAAAGATAGGGTATTTTTACAACAGCTCATTATTTGAAAATACATAATTATTTTTACAAAATATAATAGCAAATTAGTTATGAAGCTACATAATTTAAAGAACATTAAGATCTAAACAACGGGTTAATTTTTCAATCAGCATTATAGGTCATCTTAGTTTTTTTAAAAACCGAGTATAATGTCACTGTTGGTGATTTTTATGCTACATCTGTAATTGTTGCCATTTTTAATATTGTGCAAATATACATGTAAGGATACCCTTTCTTCAGTATTATTTGTTCAAAGTATCTATATTGTTATGTCATTCATTGAAATTTTGTATATTTTGTATTATTTTGTTTCAAATCGATGCTCGAAAACTTACAGAAATCCCATTTTTCCATTTCATAGGGGAGATAATTCCTAGCAATTTTCATGGGAAGGGAGACAAGTCTTCTCTTTTCATGAGTCATGATAAGGGAACCTTGTCTATTGGCCTGGTAGGGGGAAATAACTCTCCTTAATGTTCATGGTAAGGGAGAAAAGTAATGTCTATTGTCATGGTAAAGGGAGGTAATTGTTGTGTATTTCATGTGAATTGGACAAGATTTACATTAATGAACAAATTATGAACATTTTCTCATTGGATTTCTGTTGCCATTGTTAGTCATTAGTTAACATTGTATATTTTACATTTCAGAAGTGTAAGAACTTTCATTTCATTTAGTTATTGTTAGACTTTTCCTGTTTTTTCATCGTCAGTTTATGTTTTCCCCCATTTTTCCATTGTCAGTTTTTCATCATTTTTTCCATTATCAATATTTTCAGTTTTTCATTACATTTTTCCTTTGTTAGGATTTCAGTTTATAGAAATATTTTTTCCATTGTCAGAATTTCATGGGTTTTTTTGATAACAATTTTCCATTTTCATAATTTAATAGTTTCAGAAGGCTTCTTTTGTAAAATTCCATAATAAATTTTTATTTTTCATCATATCACTACCGATTATCAGTGCATGCCATTGTAGGTTTATTTTGTCAAATGTAATACTTAGTTTGGATACTTTTGTTTTATATAGAAACCTTATTAGCAAACCTTTGCAATAAATTCAAAAATAGATAAATAATTTATTAATCCACCCAAAGCCCTCTGTTGGTAACTTATCATTGTCTGCACATTTTGCTATTCAGTCAGTAATGTTTTGAAATATTCCCTAAAAATAATGAATGGGTTTTGTCAAGATCAAAAGTTTGACTAGTCACTTCAGAATATATAGCAAGGGTAAAAACAATGGTTTAACAAAAAATACAAAAAAAAAATTGCACAAGTTGAACATTTAACTGAAGTTTTCACTGTGTTTTTGAGTGAATTTTCAAAAATATTTTTTCATTCATTTGATATTTAATAGAGAAATTCTGTTAGATATATATATTTCAATTTGCAAATTCTACTTAATATTTTATAGACTACATGATTTAGTTTTGAAATACTTATTCAAAAATAATTGACAGTACTTTGTAAAAACTTGTGTAACTTGCTTTAGAGTTCAAATTAGATTGTTAATAAAGCAAACAATTTCCATGTCTAATAAATGTTTATATTGAATGTGTATAATTGTGTTAAATAAAAGTTGAATACAGGCAGCCACTACCATCAATGTTAAATTTCACGTATTTTTCATGATGTACGCCTGTGGTTACTGTGACAGGTTTGGTATTTTAAACTTTGCATAGTTTTGAACATTACAGTAAAAAAAGTTTAAATTTTATGCCCGGCAGATCTACCTGCCAGACCTACTAAGATGTCAGTCACCTTTGGGACATGTTCATTTGAAGCTAGGTCTTGTAAAGTTTTATGTATTGAAATAAAGGTACAAGTAGCTAAATCTAATTAAATGGCATTGTAACTAAAACATTTTTTTAAAATGATAAATTTTGATGTTAATGTATTGTTGCCCAAAGAAGACTTAAAATATAATTGTGTTTATAACGAGAAAGATTAAACTACTGATACAGTCTTTACTAATTGGTTTTAACTATATAACTTAATTCATAAAAAAGTGTTCATTTGTAAATTTAATCATCTGTTGTTTTTCTTTTTGTAGAAAAGTAAAATAAAAACATGTTTCATTCTAATAAAGGGGAGAAAACTGTTACTTAAAGTTTTGATACGGTGCAAATATACATGTACAAGTAAAGATAACCTATTTCTCCTTTTTGTTTGGTGTATATAATGAATTAATCAACCAAACTTTATGAAAGAAATTATGATTTTTGACACAGAATATCATTTAATAGACTTGTATATCAAATATTCATCAGTATACATATGCAAGAAATCTGTAATGCCAAAAAAAAAGCGAGAAAATAACTGTAAATTGTTGCCATTTTATAAACAAAACAATGAAAAAAATGATGTAAACAGTTTTTCTTCATTTGTTAAGAATACATTCAAGTGTTCATGTGTAAAATAAAAAATGCAGGAATGTAGCTATTATTTTGTCATTTTTATTTTATGATAAATTTTGTATTGAAAATTATGCACATAGATAATAATGATTTATATAGTCAGACTATCAATCCTTGCCACTAGTCTAATACAGTTTTCTTCATATCTTAAGTTGACAATTTGGCTCATCAAGTTTGAGACTGTATTCATATTACTTAAATTCCGGTTTGAGATGGAAAATAATGTACATGTAGGGTGATCTAATTGATTACAAGGTGTCTGCCTCTAAATCCAGGGATCGAGTGTTCGAGTCTAAATCATAAATGGGGTCAAACCATGTTTGCTCATATGATGCCACAGTACTCTGATAGTACTGGTTATATCCAGGATGCAACCATTATTATTATAACCACAGTTAAGCTTAAATAAATTTGTAAGGAATGAACCAATTGCGTTTAAAGATAATACAATTGCCAGCTGATCTGAAAAATTGGCAGGTTTTGACCAGACTTGGTTTATAGTTTAGGCCTATCCCCTATGGCCTGTTTATTAGCTCACCTGTCACAAAGTGACATGGTGAGCTTTTGTGATCACTTTTCGTCCGGCTTCCATAAACTTTAAATGTAACGAAATCTCCTTGTGAACCGCTTCGCCAATTTCACCCAAACTTCACAGAAATGTTCCTTTGGTTGTCGCCTCTCAAAATTGTTCAAAGAATTTAATTCCATGTAGAACTCTTATGACATGGCAACCAAAAGAAAAAACTTAAAAAAATCTTCTTTTTAAAAACCCATTTTATATCTGCTTTTGTTTATAGTTTACAATATTACTTGTTCTTCGTCATGAAGAGTTTCTATATACAGGTGAGCGATTTCAGGGCCATCATGGCCCTCTTGTGCTTTAGATGGTGTTATTTACATAAGCAAACATTCTGTTTTAGCACTTTCTTACTGTAATGATTTATTCCTATTAAACAGTGATATTTAGACATTTATATTGAGATCAGGGTCTGAGGCGGAAAAGAAATTATCTTGGGAGTTCAAACTCAGATCTCCGATATTTGATTGGTCAAAAACCACCACAGAATGTCCACCGACCATGAAAATCCTGAGATTTGAGAGAGACCCCGAGTGTGGATTGGGGGGAGTTTCATAACCTCGTTAAAAACAAAATGTCCATCATTTTGAGACATAAAGCTTTTATAGAAAATTATTGTGACATTGTGGCCAGGCAGATAACTTATCTTTTCTAATTTGAAACATTCTAACGGGATATAAAACTTGTTTTTTAGTTGAAGAACGTTGAGCAAATCTATTTTGTAAAATAAGTTAATTCAAGTGAAACTCACACCCAATCTAACGACGTATAATTAATGAATTAATATTTGTCCAATGTAAGTTAGACGTATTTCAGTATCAAAATACATAAATTGTTCAGACAACCACATAGAGCCTGGTCAGACTGCATCATTGTGCAGGATAAAATAGCTCCTCTATTATTCCCTGCAAAGGCAAGACATTATGGAAGATAGAATTGGAGGGCAAAGGTGTTTTATTCAAATATTTATTTGTATTGCTCTTTCAATTGAATGATTATGCATGGGATATCCGGTTCTTGTTAAATGTTCTTCAAAAAAATGTTTTTAGTTCAGTAGTTGATAAAACAAGCAAATTTTAGGATAGGATAATTTGGTAAGTTTTCTTTTCTTTCTTTTTTTTCTAACTGAATAGACATAAATGTATAAATTACAATTAACACTTTCATGATAAAAGTATTTAGAAATCCTTTTGCCTTTTGAAGTTTACAAATATTCAGAGTAATAACAATGTTATTATGCAATACCACATAATGTGGAGAAAACTATACTTGGATTTGTACATCTCCATATTGCTTCAACTTGGTAACTCCTATATTTTGGAAAGATCTTCTTCAAACTTGGCTAAAATGTTTATTTAAACATGGGATTGAGGTAGAATCTATTTTGTCGAAGTCAAGGTCACCCCTGAATGTGACGTCAGCATTGTGTCAGCTCTATAAATCCCACACCCCTTGAAGAATTTTCTTTGATCTTGCCTGACATGTCCATAGCAACAAGTCAATGTGCAGATTCCATAACAACCTTGTGCAGACTCAAGGTCACCCTTGAAGGTCAAATGTCAGACAATATGTTTCTACTCCATAAATCCTTCACCACTCAAAGGATGTTAAAACTTGGCTTAAATGTTAACATCAATAAGGTAGACAATATGCAGAGCTCATACTGCTGCTGTGCTGGCTCAAGGTCACATTTGAAGGTCATATGTTAGAGTCTAGACAATTTTGTGTCTATACCTATTGAAGAACTTTCTTTTAAACAAAGCTTAAATGTTCACCTTAAAAAAGGACCTTTATGAAAATGCTGTTATAGAGATAGTGGGTGTATTGTTAACTCCTGTGACAGATCTAGTAAGTATGATTTATAAAATGGCTGACGGAATTTTTTTATTTTCATTTCAGACTTTGAAAAATGACGACTGAAAATATCAACAACAACTTGATCATTAATTACCTGCCCCAGTTTATTGCAGATGAAGAATACACGAATATGTTTCTTAGTATTGGACCAATCAAATCTTCTAAAATTGTTCGCGACAAGGTGACAGGGTTCAGCTATGGGTTTGGCTTTGTTGAGTTTGAGACCGATCGTGATGCTGCCAGAGCGGTCAAAGTGTTTGATGGTCTACCAATGTACGGGAAGAGAATACGCGTTCAGCATGCTAATAAAAACGAGGAACAGCCAAAAGCATTCAACATTTATGTAAAAAATATCCCCAGCACCTTTACAGAGAGTGATCTGGATAAGTTGTTTGAACCTTTTGGAAAGATCGTTACATCAAAAGTATTGATGGATTTACAGACAGGACAGTCAAGAAATATCGGCTTTGTCCTATATGAGAGTAAGGAAGAAGCTGATAAAGCGATAGGTGAAATGAACGGGAAGACAATACCCGATGCCCCAGCTGCTCTCTATGTTAAATACGCAGATGATGCTGTGAAAAAGTCGTCGAAGACGGTTCAACCGGTAATACCGCAGGTTTTGACCCAGCCACCTCCGTTCCCACCACCTGTTGTGCCACAGGGAAATGGATTCCAATCTACCAGTCAACCTGGACCTGTTCGTAATCAACAAAGCAACAGGAATAGGTTCAATCCAATGGCAAGGTCTAATGCCCCAACAACTGACTTTCCAGTTCCAAACTTCAATGTCGGTCAGAACGTCAATAATAATCAGAACTTTAATGCTGGTCAGAACTTTAATGCTGGACAAAACTTTAATACAAATAATCAAAATACAAATCAAAGCTTCTTTGGAATTAAAAACCAACAGAATTCCGGGGTTACAAGCCCAAGTCTGGATGTCCCTAAAGGACCGGGACCGTTTTCTTTATTTGTCTTTAATATTGGTGATGATGCGGAAGAGCGAGAGTTGTGGGCCTTGTTTTCACCCTTTGGTACCGTTCAAAAGTGCACAGTGATGATGGACAATGATAAGCGCAAGTGTAAAGGTTTCGGCTTTGTTGATATGGCTAATGCGATCGAAGCAGCTAATGCTATAAAAAGCTTGAATGGATTCTTCTATAAAGGGAAACAACTCAATGTTTCATTCAAACAGAAAAAACAGTGAACAGTTAGAATTGGAAAATAAAGACAGCGAGAAGAAATCATACCCTTGAGAATGATAGGTGATGGCATAGCCTTAATTTCTGCCATTATCTAAGTTGTTATTGTACTACTTTTTCTAAGTGAAGCAGGTCCAGATGGGGCATTGAGACTTCTTTTGAAGTATTAGAGAGAAAAACGAAACATAATGAGGTGAAAAATAGGAATTAATATACTTTTATTGATTGTAAATATGTGTGGATATATTTTTCGGTAGATGTTCTTTTTTAGTTTGTTCAATTTGCATTAGAAAGTCTGATTAGTTGTTGTGTAAAGTTTTTTTTATAATCAAACTATTTCCATGCAACACTAAAGTTTACTAGGTGCATATTTGATGTTTTGTATTCTATTATAATTTTGAAATGTTCATTTTACTTGAATATGCTACCATTTGCATGATTTGGTTTTTGAAAGCCAATACATTTAGGAAAAATATGTTGTCAGTTTAGTGTTAAGCTATTTTGATAGGTATCAAGTGCTTATTAAGAATTATTTTTTCATAGACTTTTTATATGATGCTGTATTTACTTGTGTATATATTGAGAAAAAGAATTATACATTTTTGAAAGTTAACAAAACAGTGTTTAAGCACTATAATACAGTGGATATAGAGGATAAAAATTTAATTTTCAAAAAGGATTTAAAGAAAGCACCTTCCTTTGGTCTTTTAATAAAAAAAAATGTGTAAACATCATACCAGTGTGTTCATTTGATTGCAATAAGTTTGTTTTTGTAAATTGTTGAAACTTTTTAAGGTTTAACACTAGGTTGTTTTTACCAGTAATCTATCAGCTTTGAAATAGTGTTAATTATTAATAGGGACATTTTTTGCCTCTTTTAAAAGATCAGCATTAAAATTCAAGTAAAATTACATAAATTTTCTGCACGGCTTGGTTTTATTGGAAGGTCATTATCATATCTAAAATTCAGCATTTAAAATCATTCAGTTCTTACTCAAGATGAGTGATATTTTGAACTTCCTTTAGTCCCAAATGACTTTTGTTTCCATCTTAGGATACAATGTATAATATCAAGAAAAAACAAAATGAACCTTACACCACAGAGCTATATAACTATATAATAAGTTTTATAAGTCTCTGCTTATACTAACACTTGCCAGATTCTTTTGACATGTACGAGCTGAAAAAGTCCACTTAGACTCACTGTTAATCAATATTTGCAGTCAATTGAATAAGGAAATCAAAATATAAATTGTCTTATGAATTGTATTCCATATTTGTTTTTTGGCATTTTTTCTTCAAAATTTCATATTACCCTAGCGTTCTTGCCACTTCAGTAGATTTTATTGTAGTTAAGTAGTTCCAGTGAGCAAAGCTTGTTATACAATAATGTATATCATTCTGATATATAACATTGTCTTATTATGTATATAATTTACTGTTTCCAATATTATCCATCTACATTGTTAGATAGGACTGTCCCATAAGTCTGACTGGGAATGGACAACTTAGAACATGGCCAGAAGATTTTTGATTCTTCAGTAAAAAGATTGGATAGAGACAACATAAATCTTAACAATAAATGCATTAAAATTGAATTAATTGATGCATAAAATCTTTAGATCTCTTTCATACTTATGTCCTTTACTTTCAAGTTTAAATTTTCATAATTTATTTAATTTCATCACAAATTTATTGTTTATGACTAGGGCATTCAGTGTTTTATAAATACATCTTGTTGTTACTGTGGTTGTTCTATTGTTTATTACTAGTATTAAGCATTTTGTCAAGAAAATTGAAAACCATGCATTATTGTCATTGGGACCAGTAATATAGATTTTGTATTCCTACTTTGTTTTCTTTATTGTTTTTACCTTGTCCATTTAACAGCATTATAAATCCCTATTGAGAATGCATCATCAGGGGAGATTATTTGAGTCAAGGGAGTTAATTTGTCTGAAAACCTTGGAGACCAAGGGTAGTAATAATATTTATGATACATTTATTTGGAGAATCAATCACCTGGCCACAATAACCTTAAATATTATAATTATGGAAATTATACATGAAGTGAATGAGATTAAAATTTTGTTAACCACAATGCCATCTGAACTAATCAGTTTGTAGAAGTTGCCTATACATGTATATAGATATTGGAATCTTCTCCAGTAGAGTCTGTTTGTTTAGATTTTACATCATACCGAGACAGTATAGATCCAGCTTTACTGGTGGAGGAAGACTTCAGAAGCCCTTCCGTTCTGTAGAGTATTTGCCAGACAAATTTAATTGCTGTTATGGTTACATTGTTTGTCTGTCTGTTAACAATTGATTTTTCACATGATACTTTTTAAAAATATTAATAAACTACTAAAATTATTATAATTGTGTTTATATTTGGCATGCAAGTATGTTGTATCAAAACACATGTCAATTTCTATTTTGTCTACAATCATCTCCTTATTGGTAGAATTATGCCCCCATTTTAGCAAAATTTTCTGTGAAATTATTGGTTTCCGCAGAATAATTTAAATTTCAGTGAATGTGTTCATATATGGAATTCAAGTATATAATATCAAAACAAAAGTCAAGTTTGATTTTCTCTGCCGTCAACAAGTTAAAATTGATATGTATACATGTATTTATGTTCGGGCAATATTTTATCTGCTATGGATCAACCACCTGACAGTAATTGACATTTTTTTTGCAAGATAAAGCTATTTCTCCAAATATGTCTTGACCAATCTGGCAAGAATGAATTGCCAAGATGGTAATATTCCCTTATAATGGATTTGGAATTTGTCAGAGTGAGACACTGGCAAATGTTACAATTTTATTAACAATTTATTTATTCATATATTTACAAATTTCATTAGCATGGGAGTACTTATTATGTAAATCAATAACAATAATGCTACAATGCAAACTAACAATGGGTAATGATTTATAAAAAAAATTCGACATTTACTGACAACAAAAGATGAGTGCAGTTGGGTCATCAACTTAACAGTAACAAAGCCTTGTGACAGATTTTTTGTTAATAGATCTCTGGTGCACTTCCATGCATTTATTAAGAACATTGTGGGTAGCAGAGCAGAACCATCAACTTTTGTAAGCTATAAATATCACATTAGCTAAAAAAAGAATTCAACACTCAAAAGTGGGATTTAAATCAACAGCCATAATTCAAATTGGCATATAACTAGAAGCTGTTGCCTGAACCTCTCAGTCAGGGAGACAAGAATATGGTCAACAGACGTGATAAAATAAATTTAATTTTTTTTTGATAGACTAGAGATTTACTTTAACAGCACAATATTTTGAACCCCATTTACACTTACAAAGTTATCACTACATATTTTAGTATATAATTCTGAATTTCTGAGAACAGAATGTGTTTTTAAGTAAAGTTTAAGCATTTGACTGAAACACTTAATGTCATTCTTTTCCAATTTGAACAATAATCACAAAAATTAACACAAATCTTGTGAGGTATAATGCTTTATCATACAGTATAAAGTTATGTTAATTCCTTAATTATACAAAAATAAAATTCACTCGTATTTCTTTAAACTAATGAAAAATAATTAACTTCATAATAGTAAGAAATCAACAATTTGCTTGTGTTTTTCACATTTTAGGTTGATTTAATAAAATAAATGGGGAGGGGGTTGAAGACAGTACATCAACATAGTATAGGTCATATTGTGACTTTCCAGATTTACTGGTGGAAGAAGACCTCCCCCTCTGTACATTATTTCAGGCTTAAACAGGCACCTGAGTAGAGCCACTAACGTTCAGTATGCTAGCTTTTTGACATGAAAGAGAGGACGCCGACGGGGCTTAAACCTACAGAGATGTGAAGCAAGTGGTACATGACCGTAACCACTTGGCCATGGTCGCCCCTGGAACGAGGTCGGCCTCTAGGAACAACTTAGGTCACAACCACATCGCAACAGACTGTTGACGATAGTAGTCTTGTAAGTGTTACATAAGAGCTATAAAGAAAACGTTTCTCAATGAAACATTATTAAATATATCGACAGTTAACATTTTTGACCTTGTCTGCTTATGAACACATTCATCCTTGCATCAACATTTGATAATAGAACAAAATATGAAACATCTTTAACAATCTATACAAATAAATAATTATTGTAACAAATAATAACAAAAACAAAGTAAGCATTGTTTCCGATATTATAATTTTTGGTGAAAAAATCTCAAAACTAAAGGAATATAATAATTATTAAAATTTGAGTATATAACAGGGAGTGAAGGGAGACAACTAGGTGCTGTATGATTTGATATATATTATAACTGTTACAAAATCATGTTTAATCAGGCAAAATGGAAACAAAGTAGTATCTTGATTTCTATTTAAAATACTAAATCACTGCACTTAAAAAGGCAACAACAGAAGAAAAAAACAGTGCTTTTGATAAGTAAAAAATTAAAGCATTTCTGAGACATAACAGGCATTTAGCTATTTCTGACATCTAAACTGACATGTTGAAAAATTAGAATATCTAAAATATTTTCTAACATGATCTTAACATATATAATAACTAATGTAAAAAAATTATCAAGTTCTTTTATAAGTTGTCACATGACCCTAGTAAAATTCATAGAAGAAATACTATTGGTATGGGTTCCACTTTTACCATAATTTATACACAAAAATTTATTGTGCCATTTCCCAGCCATGAAAAAGTTTCTTAACAGTATCTGCTAGCGTATTTCATGAAACCTAAACCTAAAAAAAATGCAGTAACTCTAAAATTATTCAAAACAACATTTTGGTTTATTACTAATGCACTTTTCCTCAATGAATTCTAATAATTTATGTAGTTTCAAAATGATATTTACAATATTTTTTTTCTCCATAAAATGTGAAAGGGCAGTAACAAATGGTTCTTATATGTGAGGTTCTTTGGCAGAACTTCTAAATGAGATCTTTCCATCTATGAAGTTGGATGTTTTAACCCAAATAGTTTACGAGTTATTCCCAGGACAAACAAAACCAGACTGTTGACCCTTACAAATCTGTTGTGCAGGGTTGTAAATTCATTATTACAAAACAATCATTGCACTGATTATTTATAACATAATATCATTAGTTCAACTTGATTTTCAACTATTCAATTACATATCTTATAAAAAAAAGTCTTTTATCAATAAATCACCATAATTATGCTTTAAAAATCACTTTTTACAAGTTAATGATTTACTAATATATATTTTGTAAAATCAAAATTTCAGAAGAATTAATTCTGTCCAATTATAGTTTTCAATCAACACTGTATATACCAAACTCCTCACACTGATTACCTCCCTTCGCAGAATTGTAATCACTGCCTTCACAGACGTCACATGATGATGAAAGTCACATGACGTAACGTCGAAATTCAAATGTAAATATCGACCGTTACATAGAAAATCTAACGTCATTTTTCTCTTTCTGTTTTATTTTTAACTTTTTGTACCTACGTCCGTTATATTTTAACAAAAAATTATCAAAAGTACACAAAATAATGAAAAATAAATTAAAAAGCTAAAAAATATAAATATCCAAATTTGGATATTTCAATGTTTGTGATGGCAGAGATCTCTGTACTGATAAGGGGAGATCACTGCGTAGGAGATTGTGTATATACAAGATGGCAGACTGAGTAATCTCGAGATCACAGTTTATAGAACAAGACCATAGAATAAAACTTGAATAATGAAACCAGTCTCAAACTGGCATCTCATTGGATATATTAAATTTGAATTGACCAGTGACAGAGGATTAGTTCAAAACATGTTGTACATGGTTTCTATTTTCAGTTTTATAATATATTAAGGTCTAGTTTATAGAAAAATATAAAAAAAAGTTCTTGGTATCTTGCTGTGAAAGCATTTTGTTGAAGTACTGATGCTTTGAGCAATACATGGCAATGTGGCAGCATTTGTATCACCATTATATCCAGTATTAACCAACATTATCTTCTTTATCATCTGAAAAATAACATTTCTAGATACATGTATATATTTAAAATACATTATTTATATGTAGCAACATAATAAGCAATTCAGTGCAAAGCAGTTGACAATTTATATCCCTTGGATTGTAAACACTGTTCCTGAAACATTGTTTCGTTTGTTTGGGTTTGTTGCTTACGTTTTAACTCACACAGGAAATGTAAAGGTAATATGGCAACTTTCCAGCTTTTCTCATCAAGGAAAATCTCAAGTACCTCTTAATGCATTATTTCAGGCACAAGCTGGTATCTGAGTAGAACAACTAACCCAACGTTTGCTAGCTTGATAGCTTCCTCACATGTATTCTAGGAAGTCCCTGTCAGGATTCAATCCAACAGCACGGAGGAGCAAATGGTTTGAAATGAGCTACTTTTATCACTCTGCCATAAATAGTTATAGGACCCTGATTTTAAATACTGTTTTGGTTGAGTACATATATACCAGTTAAGTACTGGTTTTTATCAATTATCAATGAAATATAAGACATCATTCATGTTTTTCTGCCCATCATTGCATTTATACTATGTATATACAGTATAATGCAGTTGTGAATTTATAAATAAATCTTTTTAATAAAAGAAAACTATTTGACAGGTTTGATGTGTGTAGAAACTTGGGTTATATACCAGCTAAAAAACTGTTTATATTGGACCATATAAGCTTAAAAAAAATGAATTCTTTTTTTCTCACAATATACCTGATTTCTACTGCCTTTTTTAACACAACCTGCACATCTATGGTAGTATATGGAAAGTTCTGTAAAAAAGAAGTTTAATTATTTTTAATTTGAAAAACAAAACAAAAATTTTTTTTTTTAATTCATCAGTTGCAGCTATAACATCAGACTGAATATCCTATGTTTTGATAGACTATAATAATAGCATTGTGTGGTGTACAGCTACATGTATACAGTATTGAGATGACACTTCTCTCTAAATTTATATATGGTTATTTGAGAAAATATACCGTAAGAGATTTCTCATGAATTATTTTTTAACAACTTCCTTTTGTTTTGAGAGATGAGGTTGACAGTGTGACGATGTATCTATAAAAAATATTCTAACATGATTCTCACTATTCCCCTACCAAAATTGGGGCTGTTACATGATATATGCAAAGCATAAAAAACGAATGCTAACACGTAATATAATGTCATATATGACATCAATAAATGAAATGACGTCAGGAATATTACTACTACGCTCAATGTAGTTCAGCATATTTTTATCAGTTCTCTTTTTTATAAGCATGTTAGAATGGAGAAAGATATTAATTTTCTTCCATTGTAGTATCATAATGCACAGTTTATCATTCAAATGCCCTGTAATTAATCATTCAGGTCTATCGGCATTCATAATTATATTCCTATCAATTTGAACTTGAACCATTTATTATACAACAATGCACTCAAAATTGATTTTTATTTCCTTAAATATCTTACTGTAGTTGATGAATTTATAAATTTGTCAGTAAGGAGACAAAAATGTTTTTTTATAATTACCTGTACAAGTTTCATATTATGAGGAAAATCACCCGTGAGTAAATCTTGTTTTAACAATCTGTAAATATGTAAAAGTTATACATCATAAAGTTATACAAACAGTGCAAAATACAGCAAATTTTACCTTACAAAAGTTATCGAAGGTTATTCAACATAGGTCAAGGAACCCACAAAATTCAATACACAATTCAATGGACCAAGTAACGGACAAAAACACAGTTCAATGGACCAAGTTAAACAGATTGATAGTTAATCTTTCCTACATATATACAGTCAAACCTGTGCCTAGGACATATTAATAATATCTGTCATATGTTGTGGTTCGAATCGGAATATCCGTCCCGGACGGGTACCCAAGGGATGATTATTTCGATCTGAACCTCAAACATATGTCAGGTATTTTTTCTTGCATAATTTGCCATATTATTACATATTAAAAATGGTTTACTTCAAGATATTTGTACATGGAAATTAATGTCATTTCATATAAAACTATTATCTTACAAAAGCCTTTGAATTTATAACTTGAATAACAATGGCAAAATGATGTCATCCTAAGCTCAAATTTTCCTTCTAAACTGCGCCAAAATGACGCCATTTTAATTAATGCAGTCCATTCATAAAATGCACTAAAATGACGTTTTTATATGGCTCATGACTCATCTGGCACCCACATACCAGATGAAATTTTTGGCATGGGTAAAACTAAAAGAAATGCCAGTCTGCTATGCAAGAATACATTATCCTATAACTAGAAAACCAAAGGTAATGTTAAAAATATCTCCATACTGGACATTAACCAACAGTTTTACTGTATGTGACTTACAGTAACATTGCACATCCTATTTTGATCAGGAAATGAAACCTCTTGTCATCTGCAAACAGTGAGTCCCAAATACGTAACACATCTGTAAATATATAAATATACTGCTATCACTATTGCTACAGGGACTATGCTTATACCAAGGTCAGTTTTACTGAATCCTAAATATCATTATAAAACTTTAATCAATAATAAAATCACAATAAAAAAACCTAAGTCTGAGCTGCCAAAGACTACTATTTTTTTAGACATAAAACACATGTTAAAACACAAATTAAATCTAAAAGCATTGCTTCCTTACATGTTCAAAACAAATCAGAGAAAATTATTCATAATTTCAACTTTATGTTTTCTACATGTACATTACCCAAAATACTACTGTATGCCTCTAACCTTATCTATCATGAGTTTTCTATTTTGGTTTTTAGAAAGAATATCAGTCTGAGTGGTGTTTATCACCTATTCAAGACATACAGTTCTGATACATATGAAGATAAAACAAAGGCCGTACATATATTCAAATTTTTTTTTTTAAATTCTTTACTCATTTTTCTTCAGTTTCATTTTGAAAATTTGATAGCTCTTCTGGTGGTATGCATCTTTAAAAAACAACTTATAACATCACTGTCAAATCAGGAAATATATAGTCATAGAGATAATTCAGAAACCTGGTATACAGTCATAATTTAGTTACCTGGCAACGGAAATTCCTGAGACAGTAAAAGTGTGAGCCATCTGAAAGCATAGAACTGAGGCTTCAAGTCTTGTTCCTTCAGTTTATACCACAATGTTGAGTCTGTCTCCTTTAATGTGGTCATTAACTGATTCATTAAATTACCTGAAATATATAGTTAAATAACATGTATTAAACATCCGGTATGTTGTATTTAAGGTTGTTACCACCTTTAAGTGAAATTCTATATATGTATATAATTATGTTTCTAAAACAATTTTCGAACATCGAAGAATATGTAAAATATGCACTGCAAATATTTGTTCACATTATATGTATTTTGTAATCATAAAAATGTATGCATTTATTTCTTATTGAAAAATTTGACTTAGACCTTATAGAAAATAAATTTCGAATTACCTCCCATGAAATGTAAATTCAGTAAAATCTTTACAAATAATGCTTTTTTTGAACTTACAATACTGATAAATCTTTATTTAAACATTATATTTATGATATAAAACCATAACAAAATTGTGGTACAAGATCTTTAAAGGGAAGCAACTCCATAGACAAGAGTACATTAAATGTTTGAAGTGATCAAATCCCACATGGGGTAGTATTTTTCTTCTAACGCATTTGGATATTTGTGTTAAGAATTAGAAATGTTCACTATTTTATTTCAGAAAATACAACAAAAGGAGATCTATATTATTTCTATACAATGAGATGGAATATTTAATGGAGAATACAACAAACATTTACCTATCCCACATTGTGAATCATCTAATGTTTTAATAAAGTTGTCTCTAATCTCTGACATTAACGTGGTGAAACAAAAGAAACTATCAGCTTCTGCAAATTCTGAAATTAGAAATAAACACAGGAATACTTAAAAATTAATTTTTTATCAATTTCATTCTTCAAAAAATATTGAAGAAGCAAGGAAATATATGAAAAAAAAAATAATAAACTCTGCATATGTTGAATGAAAACACAAATCAGTCCGAAAGTTTGTTTGCAAATAACTGGTACATTTAACTACAAATAAATATGTAATTACATTGTGACATTAACCAGCACTAGGTTACATAAAATGGTGTCTCTAAAACTCAAGAAAATGTAGTGGGAACCATTCAACTTCCTTTCCAAAAATTGTTAAAATAAAGTGATCTTGGAAATTATGTTAAAAATTCAAAGCAAGACAATGTCATTCCACAATGCAGCAGTATTTGTGTCAACTACATAGAGGATCTTCAAGTTTTTTCTATAACTATAGGATTTATTTTCATCAAGTGGTATGAAAATAAATATTGCATGAAGGATAGTAGCCATGAGTGAAATATGATAATTTTCCTACCACAAGATGAAAATAAATCCTGTATTTATAGAAAAAAATTTGCATGTTCTGTTTATCATATACATTTTTCTTTTATATATAATTACTTTTAAGATTTCCTCTTAAATTTTGTATGTTGGCTGAATTTAGAAAAAAAGTAGTCTGGCAAGGCACCAGTGAAAGTACCGAAAATATGTTTCACTACAATGAAAAATATTTTTTTGAGTGAAAATACAGAAAATGAAAATACGCAATTTATTTCATCAATATTTCTCAATATTTCATTTATAAGTATATAATATATGAGTATCTTGCCTTTACAATCTTTTTCTGAATCAGATGCAAATGTATAATATATTGGCCCTAAAATCTCGTTCATTCCCTGTAACAGAAAATATGAATAACATATTACATAAAAAATCATATATTCTAAAGATGTGATTGCATCTTTTCATTACATATACAGTACGCTCAGCGCGACTTTTTCAAAACCCGCGTGACCCCGCGGATGAGGTTTACCGCGGATGAAAATTTGCTCAGATATTGACAGAAAATTTTCACCACCGCGGACATAAATCGGCGGCTGAAACCGTTTCCCCCACAGAACGCAGTGGTAAATTGCGGAGGAACGCAGCGGTCAAACACCGGTCAACGCGGTGGAAACCTTAAATTTTAAAAATTAATTACTGTATTTAAACATCAGTATATGTACGTACTGTAACATGTACTGTACATATAACTATATGTAAAATTTGTTTGTTTGTTTTCTTTTTTGTTGTAATAAAAGTACATGTATAAATGCAGTGTATTTCTTGTCCTTCTTCTTGTTATTGTGTTGGGTAATGTATAATATGTATTCGACATCAAGATAAATCATTGTCGTCGCAACTTCATGGTAGTGAGAAACTTGAAGTCAAATAATGAAAAATTCGGCATATGACATTTATGAAAAAGATACTACAACAATTTATATGCCAGCTTTTGTTTCTTATTTAAAAACTTTGAAAACGTTACCCTCAACAATTTATTCAGGCAATATTCCAGGACGTCTCTTTCAATTGTCAGATGTGTTTTACTGTTTCTGTTTATTTGCATGTTGATCATAAAGTCTTATATTTTATTTGGAACATTAAAAGAAAGCGTTTATTTCACCAAAATATACATTAAATGATATTCTTGATTTATCTAATTACAGGTGTGAGCGTAATGTATATGTTTTGAAGTTTGTATCAACTGTTGAAGTTTATTTTCATTTTTGTTTTAGTAGTTTGTTTGTTTGTTCTTTTTTATTTTGTTATAGTTTTTTTTTGCAGAATTTTGTTAAATTTGACGTTATACTTTTTGTTATTTTATTACGAACAGTATGCATGTACATTCAGATACTGGCGAATCCAATAGTCAATGTTTTGTCTGGATAAAGAAACTCCTTTAGACTCTAAATTCCTCTGATTTTTGATTATTTTTCAAACCACTTGTGTACAGCCGTACAATTTCAAGTTTATCAAAATGTGTCACTTTAACCATTTTTAAGTTTACATTATACGACCTTTTTAAACTTTATTTATATAAAGAGCGATGTAACTCCCAATTAATTTATATAAAGAGCGATGTAACTCACTTAATTGTAAACTTACACGTTATAAAGATAAAAGTCTTAACTCATAGAAAACTCTATTAATATCTAACTAATTTTAAAGACGCAAATTAAATTTAAAGCATTTAAAGAACTCTCTTTGTGTAGCACAAAAGAATTATGAACATTTATGTATAATACACTTCAGCCTCATTAAAACGCTCATGTTGGGGTCCAATGTCTCACCACCGCGTTCTAACCAGGCTCTAATTAGAACGCTCATTGCGAAATTACCGCATTACCCCACCCACCACATATTATATATAACGCTGATTTTTTTTTACTTACTGTTCAATGAATATCGACATTATCTTTTTCTAAAGCCATTCAATGATGTAAACATGTATTATATTCACAATAATACTAATTATATATAAAAGAAACGAAAAACTTTCGAAAGAAAATTATAAATCATGAATGTAGTGTAAACACTAACAGTTAGCCATTACTGTTTAAATACATATTAAGTAGCGGCGACATGGCCCCTTTTCACACATACAATATCTGACAATATAGAAAATATGACAATATACAATATCTGACAATATACAATATCCGACAATATCTGACATGATGGCAAAGAGAACCTTTTTGAATTTGTGTCAAACATATATACGGTATGTACAGTATACATAAACTTTTTGGCAAGTGTCATGCATATTTCTCATGTCCATTTTCGACGGGGTTTTTACTGTAAAAAAAACAGAAACAAACAAGTCTACCCGTTTTTAAAGAATATAATTGCATTCAAATAAAATCTTATAGATGGTTTAAATATCTTTTTCTTTTATTTCTAATATATGTACATGTATTTTATTTATGTCTTGTCTTGTATTCACACTCATCGACCTCTTACAGGACATGTACTGTAGCGTCAGTCATCATTGAGATATCAGCACAAATGCCCTTTTTTTACTAAGTATCATATTTATGGCTCCCATATAGTTTAACAGCAATAATACTTTGAGAACCACAAGGAATGAAAAAGTAAAGATGACAGTGATAAATGACGATTTCAGTTGTAAAAATATTGGTATGTGGACGAATAGTTTTGTGGACGTTTATAACAAAAATATTAAAAACAACAACAAAAACAGGTACAGCTGTAATTATTTTTATTTCAAATTCCGTTCAAATAATTTTAACGTATAATAACATTTAAGGAGACGATTGTGATCAATTTTCAAGTCATTGTGTAAAAAAGATGACGTTAAAAAATAATAAAACGTCTATTATTTTTGGAGGTTAATTTATACTGACCAACTGACCATGGCGTTCCCCCGCGGGAAACGGGTGACTGATTTTATCGATGAATAGAGAACGGTCGTCAGAATTTTGTCCGCGGTGGAAACAACTGAACACCGGGGATCGCGGGGTAATTAGGCTTCTCATCGCGGACGAACCCCCGCGTTTGTCCGCGATAAAAAATAGGGTCCGCGGTGGTATCGCGGAAAAAGCAAAACCCGCGGTGAGCGTACTGTACTGTATACAATGATCATTTTAATTTGAAATTCTGTAATAAAAACATTGTATTCTTTTCTTTTCTTTTTATCATAAAAGTTCCTATTTCATTGAATCATTAAGCTTATATACTAGTACATTTGTATTTTGATTTACATCTACTTTAAAGATGTTTTGTTATATTATTTTCTTTAAATTAGAAACAAATTAATTATCTATATATTGCCTTAAAGTTAAAACTTTTTGGCAGTGAAATGTTTCTTTGATAGTCAAACTTAAAATTATGTAGAGAAATTTGATGCTATTACTGCTATGTCATATTCCTAAACAGTATCTTAATATAATGCATTTAAATGTCACATTTATAATTATAATATATATATAATTAAGACACGGGTAAAACTTGGCATATACAAAAGTTATAAAATACCTGTACATAGGCCTAACATTAATATAATCAGGATCTATACATAATATACTTGACCAGGGTTTAACTTTGAAGTTTTAACATACCTGTATATAACCGAGACCAGGGTTAAGCTTGGCAGACTTGGAATTTCTAACAAACATGTATATAACCGAGACCTGGGTTAAACCTGGCAAACTTGGAAATTATAACAGTTCAGTGTATGATCGGAATATATTTCACCTCATGAGCACCAAAAGGTATATTTCACGAGTGGCACAGCCACAAGTGAAATGTGAACTTTTGATGTTCACGAGGTGAAATATATTCCGATCTTACACTAAACTAAACAAATTTTCTTTTTATTACATGCAATCAAACATTAAAAAGGACATTTTTACCTAATAATAAATGAATAGCGCGCCAAATAATTATACAACGTGACGTCATTTACGACGTCACGTTATAAAGTTGGTTTCCAGTTCTGTGTACGCTGGTATTTCACTGAAACAACGTAAGGGGCTTAAATTCAAAACAGTGAAATTATCAAATTGATAATTTCACTGTTTCAAACAGTGAAATTATCAGTTTCAATTCACTGATATATTTCTATAAACCATCGAAAAGCATGTAATAAACCTGTATATAACTAAGACCAGGGTTAAACCTGACAAACTTGGAAATTATAACATACCTGTATATAACCAAGACCAGGGTTAAGTTTGGCATACACAAACAGAATTCTCTCACACACCTCCCAATGAGCTTCCTGACCGTCTGGTAATGGCATATATTCATCACTAGTCTTCCGTCTACTGGTTGCCATCTGTAACATTAAATATTGTATCATTATATTTTTGTTCTTTGATATCACAGATTGTTACCACTTAAGTTTGTTTACACAAATAACAATTGATATACTAACTAAATGAAGAATATTTTACAATCTGGAATAAATGAGTAAAAATGTGTGTTAGAATTATGGGTCTTGGTCTTGAGTCTACAATATAAACATGAACTTTCAAATGAATGATTTCAGTTGTTTTGGATATTTACCTTGCTTAGTTACATTAACTAGGACTTTACAGAAAGGTCTATAATTCTAGGACTTTTCACAAAGGGCTATAATTCAATTAAAATACATACTAGAGTTATGTTATTTGCCTTTACTTTTACATGTGAATGGATGTAAAATGCTATGCTAGTTACCTTCATGGACAGAGCAAGCCTATCTGGTCATTTGTTTCTCATAATAATTCACTTATGAGTAATTAACTGCACAATATTATTATTTGTGTTAAGCTCTCTACTTTATCTTATAAGCCTATTAAAAACAAAAGAGACTTGTCTTGTACAAAAATTGATCTAAGGTATATATAAACCTAAGGTATAAATAAAGAAAGTTGTTATTCAAAGTCATACATTAGTTATTCCTAGCCTATTTTGAGACACAGATTCCGAGTGAAGCACGGAATTCTCGACACGTTTTCTCAAAGTTTCGAAACTATTCTCCCCACACAGTCTATTGCACGGGTAATCTGTTGCTCTCTGGAAGAAGTTCAAGTCGGGACAAAGTCGCCTGAAATACATCAAACACGTTTTAACATGATATTTATATTACTCAAACTTAACAACAAAATAAAACCCCATTTATAACCAGATAACAATTGACTTCTGAACAATTAAACTGAAAGAACAATTTATTATATCTTATAGTATACATCTTTATTTGATCTCTTTGATTAGGTATGATGATGTTGTATTATGTGTATAAATATTGGATTGGGGAAATCAAGTTCAAGGAGAGATACAATGCATATAGTATTTTTTTTTATTGCTGATTGACAACTATATATTCAGTAATGGAATTCGTCCTCAACCATTTAACATGACTTGAGGACAGCTTACATTCAGAATCAAGGCCTATTGTAGAATACACGTCAAACTCTTGTTAGGTTATTGCCAACTAATTAATAATGAAATCCAGCTTAACCTGTGTAACAATTAAAGCAATCAAAATAAATACATTTTATCCACTCTACCAGGGAGGCAAGCTATATGATGTAGTTATATGGTAGTTAAAAGATGCAAGTTCATGTATTTATGAATGTGAAACTACACTACTCAATATCTTAAAACTGGTAGAACCAAATAACAGGTGGGGTAGTTCACACCTAAAATTTGAGTTGGATTAATTCATTGCTTTATAACAAAGTAGAACTCCGCGAGTCGGATGTGTCGCCTTGTGAACAATATAGTTTAGGAGAAATGGCCAGGACAAAAATGATATTTGAAAATCAACAAAGGGCAATAGCTCAAAAAATAAGAAATGCAGAGCAGCAGTTTCTGTGCATTGCACTTCTTATTAATAAGATCTATCATCCTACTAAGTTTCAAGTCTAAAGCTTTTATAATTTATGAGAAATGGCCTGGACAAAAATAAAGTTTGAAAATTAACAAGGGCAATAACTAAAAAAATAAGAAATGCAGACAACGCCGACAAAAGTAACCCCTATATGTCGCCTTTTTCAAGGCGACACAAAAATAGTTTCAAAGATCTTTTGTTTAATTAAATTTGGTAGTATCTACTTTAATTGGGCAATTCTGAGTGTTAACGTTTTGTAAAACTCAAACAATTTAATTTGTAGAATTAATTTTAATCTATAGAAAAACAAGCAATTATCAAAGTATTGCAAGCAATCCATAAGTCCCCTACCGGTAAGAGCCCAAGCAACATTCTGAAGGGCCATTGGCCATTCACTTATGTTCCTATTTTAAGTAAATTTGTTAAAAAAGTTATTTAAAAGTAATCACAGGAAACAGTTTTTATGTACAGACAGACAGACTGAAGGACACTCTAAAGTTATTTTCTAAACATCCCTGTTATCAAAATATAACATTTTTAAAATCCTATCATGATTGAAGAAGTTGGAGTAAAAATTACCAATTTCTCAAAAAAAAAGTCTAAGTTCAAAAGGGGCATAATTCTGGAAATAGTCTTGCTAGAGTATTGAACACTCACAAATGTTGAGTGATAATAAGAAACATTTATATGAAGTTTGAAGTAGATACATTCAAAAAAAGAAGTTATTAAAAAAAACAAGGTTTTTTTTCCTGAAAATTTTAAGTTCAAGGGAGATATTTCTGATAAATTTTGTGCTAGAGTTGTAAACCTTGTCACATATGATGTGGTTGATGACAAGCAACTTATATTTAAAGTTTGAAGAAAATACCTTTAGAAATAAAGAACTTATAGTGAAAAAAACTTAAAAACTAGAATCCGAAATCTTGAAATTCAGTCTTTTTGTTACCATAGCAACCAGAATTTTCAACATAGGAAGATAAGAAAAGGATGTGCATAATTTCCATACTGCCATCTACCCATATGTCAAGTTTCATAAACATATTTTCAGTACTTTTTGTGTTATCACTGGATCCAGGTTATGTGTAAAATTTGCCATATTTTCAGTCTATTTGTTGCCATAGCAACCAGAATTTTCAACATAAGAAGAAAAGAAAAAAATGTGCATAATCTCCATACTGCCATCTATCCATATATCAAGTTTCATAAAAATATTTTCAGTACTTTTTGCGTTATCGCGGGATCCAGGTTATGTGTAAAATTTGCCATATTTTCAGTCTATTTGTTGCCATAGCAACCAGAATTTTCAACATAGGAAGAAAAGAAAAAGACGTGCATAATCTCCATACTGCCATCTATCCATATATCAAGTTTCATTAAAATATTTTCAGTACTTTTTGCGTTATCGCGGGATCCAGTTTTGTGGACGGACGGACTGACGGACGGACAGACGGACGTTCTCACAGGACAGTAATTATGTGGCTACTCTATTGTTCTCTCTATTGTTCTTTTTAGCCACGCAAAAGAAAATAGCCACATAAAAGCATTACGGAATGAATGACATCAAAGAGAACCTATTGTCCCTCTAGCCACATAATTACTCTCCTGTGAGTGCGGACGGACTGACGGACGGACAGACGGACGGAGGGTAAACCTAAAGTCCCCTCCGGTAAACCGGTAGGGGACTAATAAATTACCTGCAATCTTTATCAATCTGTAGTAACATTTCATTATCTTTAAAGTAAGCCCTCCATTTACTTTCTGGATTCGGATTTAATGGCTAAAAGAAAACAAAAAAAACAAAAAACTTAGACTAGTGATACTTAACATGGTAAAGTAGGATAAATGAAAAACAACACGTCTCACACCTGGTACAGCTTGAATAATTTCTATACTGTTAGTAGCTTAAGTTTTGTGCTCCAATGCAGAACATGGGAAAACTGTAATTTCAGTAAGTTAAATGTTAATCTCATTTAAGGTTAATAATGATTAGAAATGTTTGGCATAGAGCTAACATCTCTGATAGTGTATTAATTGTTTAACTTGGTTTTCTACAGTATTGCAATAAAATGTATTCTGGAGTTTGGAGAATTATCCAATGTTAATATCTATAATGTCTGTTTTACTATGGTAGAAACTAGAATTTTATCCAACCCTTGTATAAATAATTTGAATTTTTATCTATTTTTTTCCTTTAAAACAACAAGAAAGTCAAATATAGTTGTACAATTAATTCCTCAACTTACATGATCATCAAATGTGACATCAGACACTCCACCATTCTCTGTTGCCTCTGTACCTGGTTTGATGATCATCTCATCAATAAACTGAACATATGTAGCCCTGGTATAATATATATATATATATATAATTACATGTTATTCATGTAAGTAAGATATCATCCTCAATAACCCAGGTCCTAAGTTCACTAAGCAAAGATAACAATCAGGATATAAATGTTCCTGATTTTATTTTCATTGTTTTATACAAACTTAACTTATTCATGTTTTGCTAGAATTAAATGGCACATAAATAAAATATGAAAAATTGCTGATTTGAAAAGACACAACAGTATTTTGGGATAAAATGGATGAAAAACAAAACCAATATGAAAAATATCGGATCAAAATAAAGATCAATATTAGGATCAATATTTGGATCAGCTGTATAATGCCCATGTCTTGTATGATATTTGCATTTGAGCAATAAGTACATGTACAGTTATAGTGATTTAGTATATTGCATGGAAGTCAAAATACTACTTTGTTTACATTTTACTAATTTTTATGACAAATGATTTCACATTTATCGGTACATTTGTTCAGGTAACAAGCATCTAACGTTCTCTAAAACCATAATTTGAACATCATAAAATACTTGTGCACCTTTTCTAAAGTAGTAAAGATTTATTTGTTTCTGAGGCATAATTATGTGCCTTTAATCTTAGTGAGCACAGGGCAAAGCTTTCTAACATCATCAGTATTAAATGTAGTAGACATGAGATGTGAATCACTGGTTCAAACAATACAATATACATGTAAACATACTGGAAAGTTCAAACAATAAAGCAATTATTGAGTTAGCAAAGAAGCTGGCTTATTATAATTCAAAACTATGCATACTTGATATCTTCCTACCTGCTTTCTTATTTCACTAAAAAAATCAAATGCCATGTTTGAATTTAGTATTGGTATAGTACTACATGTATATACTGATTTGACATCAAATGTATGCAAGAATCTTACAAAGAAAGTGTACCTTTGTTTCAGAAGTTCTGTATCCCAGTCAGATCTGTTCTTTGGTAAGTAGTACAACAGCAACTGTAAATGTATTACACAACCTTTTATAACAGTGATGCTTAAATCTCATTGCAGTATCAAAAATTATATTTCTTTACACAGTTAACACTTATGCATGCACATACATACATACATACACACATACACACATACACACAGACACACACACACACACACACATACATACATACATACCTACGTATAAAGGGGGCCTCTGCTAATAGGAATGATACTTTTTTGTATAAAATTAATTTATTAATTTAATATACTTTTCTTAAAAAGAACAAAAGTTGAAATTAATCCATAACCTTCTAAATTTCTTAAATAGATTTATTCTGATTTTTTACAGTTCATTATCACTATGGGGATATCAAGATGAAAATTTAAAGTTGCTCAGTCAACAGTAATTCAAGCTTGATCAGACTGCATGGATGAGTAGGTGGCAATAGCTATAAAAAGTATATTTAATCACTTTCAGTTTCCGCAATAGTTAAAAAAATCATCACAGAAACTCATAATATCAGACATTATTACCTTCCAGCATTTTGATCTCAATCCAGCTTCAAATGGACAACCTATGAATGATAAAAACAGGTATGCTATTCAAACAAAAACAAAACTGCATTAACTCTCTTTTAAAAAACAAGTGGTAAAGATCTCTAAAACGTTTTTTATAAACAATAAAAACATCCCAACAGCTACGAGCAGTGTACAATTCAATTTAGTTACTAACTAATAGTTGCTAGACTTCAAACAAGCCTCCAGATGAGCCAAAATATTTCAAGAAATTCAATCTTTAGAAAAATATATCAGGATCTTATGAAATGTAACTAGAAATGTGTCCCTATGACACGGATGCCCCCACATTCCACTGTTCTGTCAATCATATGACTCTAGGTCAAATATTTTGTGGACTACATGTGCCACAAGTTGAAAACTAAAAATCAACAAAGGGCCATAATTCTGTTAAATTTGGTCGCAGCAAAAATTCCTTCCTTTACTACCATCTACACATTAAGGTTGTTCATCCCTAGAAGCGTAAGCAAAATCTGCCATCCTGTTTAAGAGGTCGAGTTGCGTTCACAAAATTTCTACTTAGCATATAGTGAAAAAATCAACAAAAGGCCATAATTCTGTTAAATTTGGTCGCAGCAAAAATTCCTTCCTTTACTACCATCTACACATAAAGGTCGTTCATCCCTGGAAGTTTAAGAAAAATCGGCCATCCGGTTTAAGAGGAGTTGCGTTCACAAAATTTCTACATAGTATATAGTGAAAAAATCAACAAAGGGCCATAATTCTGTTAAATTTGGTCTCGGCGAAAATTCCTTTCTTTACTACCATCTACACATTAAGGTTGTTAATCCCTGAAAGTTTAAGCAAAATCTGCCATCCGGTTTAAGAGGAGTTGCGTTCACAAGATTTCTAGACGTACGGACGGATGGACAAGTGCAACGCTATATGCTCCCACTATGTGGGGGCATAAAAAGATTCAATATTTAATTTATTATTAACATGTTATGTGCAATTAACGACTGATTTTGCAGTATCAATCACTATAATTCTACCGCGTTACTAACGCAGTAAGAGGTATTTATGTATATTTTGACCTCTTTCTGGTAATTTACTTGTATTGAAAGTGCCGTTTGCAATGTGTAAATTACTTTCTTTGTTCACTTCACAATATTTTACTTTTAAATACATTTTCAAAATTTTCATAAACATTAGCATGAATCTGGAGGTACATGCTGCTTTAAATGCTTATCTGTGGTTTTGGCTGGCAGGGCTGGCACCAGCCCTGACCACCTTATAAAACATTGTCAGTCTGTTGGCTTAATTTCCTTCGGTTCTGGAGGTATGGTTGAGACAATTGAACTGTTTTCAAGTGTAGAGTGTACCAGAGACAGGTCTGGAATGCTTTTTTGCGACAAGATTCTGGGCAGTGTTTCAGGTTCCGTCTTAGAAATCCTAGGGTTGAGTTTGCCTTCTAGGTAATCTTGCTGATTTGGTTACTCCATTTCAGGTCATCTGATATGGTGACTCCTTGATTGGTACATGTTAAATGATGTGTTTGTCCAACTGGTAGAATCTAGAATGTATCATTATGTAGCATTTCTTCACATAAAGCGCATTCTCCAGGCATTTGCCCATGTTTCAAGGTGACAGGGGTCTTGCTGAAAAATTTTATGATTTTTGCTGTTTTTTATCATTCAGTACAGTAGGCAGTCATCAGCAAATAAATGTACTGCTGGCTTAACTGAGTCTGGTTATTATTAATATGATAAAGACAGAGGAGCTGGCCGAGGACTGTACCTTATAGCACACCTGAGTCACCTGTGACTGGTTCGGATTTCTCTCCCTCTACCATTATCTTTATGGACCTGCTGGTATTATGTTAGGATTATACCATCCCTATTATTTAAAAACCTCTTGTAAAGAAAACATGTTTGCGGAAAAAAATCAGAGTGAGAAAATGATCACCTCCATGTCATAATCAGCATTTGAGTGTAGACTGTAATAAATGTATGTAGGAGTAGATACAAGAAGACAACAGAAAACACTAAAATCAGGGGGGGGGAGATAGGTCATCCAGACTGAGGCACGTTCAATGCTAAATAAGTCTACACTAAACTGCTCTGAGATGTAGAACAAGTAGAAGAGAAATCTGACAGTGGGCAAAGCTGATTGCCAACTTGTTCCAAATTATATAAAAACAATAATGTATCTGATATCAAGACTATTTTTCTCTGTGGTAATTTATATGACATTCTTAAAGCCAGATAGAATATAAAACATGCTTGTTAAGTCTTACCATTGAAAACAATTTTTCTAAGTTTTTTGAAATCAATCACTTCCGCCTCAAGAACCGACTTAAACTCCTCCACTCTGAAATGACAGTAAGTTTAAATAAAATTAATGAATGCATTACTTTATAAATAAAAAAATCACATCATTATTGATAGAATATGGTGATAAATGCTGCGTTATTGGGACAAAATCTATAACTTTACTTACCGAGCTTTGTAGGAGGACATTTTTGACCGGATGTTTACTATTACTAAACTACTGACGAATTAGCTAAACTCAAGTTGTCGTCGGATGATTACGTAAAAAAGGAAGATGGGGTATTAGTTATATATTTATTAATAGATTTTTTTTACTGAAAAAGTCTAAATAGAATAAAATTTATTATCATACACTTATCTATAAATGAAATATTGATGTAATAAAATGCGTATATTTTTATTTTCCGTATTTTTACTGTTATTTATTTTCCACTGAAGTGAAACATATAAATTTGCCGTATTTTCACTGGTGTGTGGCCGAACTACTTAATTTCTTCTTAATTAAACCAATACATAAAATAAGAATAGAAGTCCTAAAAATTGTAAGGTCAAAAAAGGGAAAGTATATAATAAACATAAATGAAAGTCGATAAATAAACATGAAATTTCTCAGTTCTCAGACTGCCTAGATGACAATTAATGGACTTATCCAAATTGTTGAAGATACAACAAGAAATAACAACAGTCTTGACCTCGTTATAACAAATGTCCCTAGCAAAGTACAACAAGCCACTACAATGCCCGGCATATCTGATTATGATTATGACACTGTCTTCGTTGAGCTTGGCCTTAGTCCTGTCACCCATACCCAAACACCCCGGAAGTTCCCCCTGTACAATTAAGAAGGCTAGATTGGAAAGCATGAAGGAAGACATGGCAACACTTCACCAAACAACCAAGTCTATGGCGGAAAACAACACCGACATCAACACTATCTGGGACAAATTCACAACTACACTGAAGACAAGTATACAACAACATATACCCCTCACAAAACTGCTAGACCAAGGGAAACATCACCATGGATTGGCAAGTATATACATCACAAAGACTAATTCGGAAACGAGACCGTCTCCATAAGAAAATGAAAAAAAAAACAACAAGACAAACAACATCATTATTGTTATTTTATAATTACAAGAACTGTAAACACTTAGTGCAGAAGAAACCCCGACAAGCTTACTTGACATGAGTTGACAATATTGTGACACCGCAGCCTACAGATCCAAACATACACAACAGTCAGAAACGTTTCTGGACCTTCAATAAACACAAGAAGAAAGACAATCAAACAATTACTGGACTAAAAAAACATGGACAACTCCACCCAAAACTAACGTACTAAACCGGCAGTTCCAATCTGTATTCACTGACAACATCACGATCACTGCTGATGACTTCAAGAAGGGGGACTACGTCAATCCACAGTCAATCCATCCAGTAGCCGCTGAGATATCCTTAACAACTGACGGAATCACCAAACTCCTTCTCACACTGAACCCGCATAAAGCTGCAGGACCCGACACCATAAGTCGTCGCATCCTCAAAGAATTGGCAACTATCATCGCTCCCATACTCACCACCATCTTCACTCTATTACCAGAAAATAGCACCATCCCTAATGACTGGAAGAAAGCCGATGTATCCCCAGTCTATAAGAATGACGGCAGATATAAACAAAAAAAAACTATCGCCCTCTCCCATACCTGCATCTGCTGCAAGCTCCTAGAGCACATTTTAACCAATCACATCATGAACCATGCCGAAAAACACATGATTCGTCATCCTCTCCAACACCGTTTCAAAAAGGGCAGATCCTGTGAAACACAAATTCTTGAATGCACAGATGCCATAACCCGGAACATTGAAAATGACAAACAGACTGATGTTCTCATCATGGACTTCGCAAAGGCCTTCGACACGGTATGCCACAGCCTCTTATCCCACAAACTAGAGCACTACGGCATCAGAGGCAAGACCAACCTGTGGATTCAGGCTTTCCTAAGCAACCGATCCCAATATGTAGTCTTGGAAGGGGTAACCTCAGATACAGTATCTGTAATATCCGGCGTCCCACAGGGCTCAGTCCTTGACCCGACTCTGCTCCTTTTCTACATCAATGACATCCCAGAGGGTCTCAACGCAGTTGTCCGACTATTTTCAGATGACACGCTGGCCTACCTTGCCATCACCAACAGGTCCGACTGTTCCACTCTCGTGCTGACCGCGACAAACTAGCTGTCTGGGAAGAAAAATTGAAAATATCATTCCACTCAGACAAATGCCAAGTCCTCTCCATCTCCAAGAAAAGAAGCCCCATCTGCCACAACTTCACTCTTCATGGTCGTACTCTAAAGCACGTCACATCAGCTAAATACCTCTGATGGACCCTGAATAACAACCTAGACTGGGGCCAACATATACATAACATCTGCAACAAAGTCAACCGTACCATCAGCTTCCTGCGAAGAAACCTTAACATCGCTCCTACTTCCCACCAAAGAAACAGCCTTCAAAGCTTTAGTCCGCCCACAGTGGAGTATGCAAGCACCGTCTGGGACCACCACACGAAGGGAAACATACACCGTCTAGATATGGTCCAACGACGAGCTGCACGTTATGTTTAGAACAAGTATCACAACACGTCCAGCGCCACAGACATGCTTGGAGACCTGGAATGGAAATCACTACAAGAACCTCGTCAGGAGACCAGACTGATCATGCTCTACAAAGTCATCAACAACAAGGGCGCTGTAGACAACTCACAACTCATACTTTCCAACTCCACATCTACAAGAAATACACATAACCTATTCTACAAGATCCCCTACTGCAGCACACAATATCGTCAACAATCCTTCATCCCACGCACCATCAAATATTGGAACAGCCTCCCTCCGGATGCTATGTCAGCATTCCGTACTCATCTGCTTCAACTCTTTATATAAACCACACTCGTGCCTGTTTTTAACCTGCACTGTATATATTCCTCACTATTTTTTGCTCTCTATTTCCCTCTTGCGCATTAACCTGGCAGTAAACTTCAGTTAGCTGAAGGCTAGTATATTGAAAGAAGAAGATGAAGGCTAGTATATTGGAAGAAGAAGAATAAGAAGAAGAAATACAGGATAAATTTATTTTCATGTATTACATAGTATGAAAATAAATATTTCACGTGTGACATGTGCCACGGATGAAAAATGATAATTTTCATATTACAAGAAAAAAAATAAAAAAAATATTTATAGAAAAAAAACCACCACCAATAACAAAAAAAGCTCGAATATCCTCTATATACAAGACCACTAGCAAGGAGGACACCGAACTGGACAGGGTACACGGGAAAACCTCGAACGAGATGTCATTATGAACTATTAAAGAAAAAAGGAAATCGTAGAAACCTATTTGCAAGGTAATTGACGAGAAAAACAAGAAGGGACACAAAAGTTGTGTATGTAACATTAAACAAGACATATTTAATATGCATCTGAGGAACACAGCTAGAGGGGAGCCAGCTGCCTAAGCACTGCTGGGGAGTTTAAACCTAAAACCTCACCTTTAGCGCCAACATGTTCCTTTTAAACGAGAAAATATATATGAAGTGAATCCCCATTATGCAAAATTCTAACAGTTGCAAGTTATGCATAAAAAGGTGAAAAAGTAAACACACAGAAATAATCATGTAGATTCATGACAATAACGAAAATATTCAATGTCTCAAACACACCGTATTACCGGCGCCGGTGATGGCAGATCACTGCAGTGATGGCAGATAACTGAAATTTACCGCTCGGTACAGGTAGGTTATAAATTTGGTTGCTATTATTATACAAGAAAAGCATTGATGCAAAGCATCAAAGGGCGTCCAAGCAAGAAATGCAGAAAGTGAAGATGAACTAGTAGACGTATGATGTCAAGATATTCTTATAAACTTTTCAATGGTTAATTGGTTTTTACCAGAATGAACGGACGAAAGACATTGTTCATTATGAACTTTGATTGGCATGCTAGAGATTAGAATATTACTTGTTATTTCTTTATGATCGTGATTATTAATAGCAACGGAAAAACATGTATACAATCATTTATAATCCATATGTGTAACGCATGATCAACACCACCCTTGTGGAATTGTCCCTTATTATGTAATCGCTATTAGCGAAGACCCGCTCTTAAGGTATCTGTCCACACTTAGTAAATATATGACACTGGTTATATTACCATGTCATGTTGAGCATTATTGTTTATTATACAATAATTGTAATATCTATTTTAATAACAAAAATACAGATTCCTCTCTTTTTTGTGTTATTATGTGCTATTTTCATACTGAGTTTTTTACGTTTACTACTCCTTTTTTTACAAAAATTGTAAAATAAATTTTAAGAATTCAATTGTCATATTGACCGACGATTATAAGTCAAAATTTAACTGGAAAAAGTCAGTAAATTATGGTTAATATTTCAATATATAATATTGTTTATTCTTAAACCTTGTATATGTACATTTGTATTTTTCTTTATCATTTTTTTAAATTATCAATCAATTAAATAATTAATAAAATATAATTTGTAACTTTGAATAATCCCTCGGCATCTTTACTAAACACGAATAACAAATTAAATAAAATGTTTCAAAGTAGATAGTGTCATATTAAAACCATAAAAATGTACCTTTTTCACAATTATTGTACATATTTATTGTTTTTATCTCATATAGATAAAATGAAACATGCTATTGTTGTTGGTGGTTTTTCCGAATTGTATGTTAATGTATAATAATAATCAATAAATTTGAGAGTTGATCTATGTCTATTTATTATTGTAACCAAACAAAGTGACAAACATTCATTTTGGAAAAAGGCTTATTTATCTGTAAAATATTTGTTCTGTTCTGTAACGATATCAAACATCTACTCCAAAACCGGGAGAGACCGGACAATAAACGTGGGTCACTAGTATCCCGGTCAAAATAGACCGGGAGAGACCGGAATTACCGATAGGAGTACATCCTTCTATAAATAGATTTTCGGAATATTTAGGTCATCAACTCATCATTCTATTTTAACATGCCATGATACCTCACTGTGTACTACAAAATGATAAATAAAAAAACGAAGAGACGGAAAAGTTATTATTGCATTTGAAAATGTTTGCATTGCGAAATCCTTCAGTTCGCTATTCATTGTACATATCGCGACATTTCA